ATAAATGCAGTTGCAATAACTGTTGACATCCAACATCCCCCTTAGTTCATTTTTTTAGAGTAGACTCCTTCCTAAATAATCGTACACTATACAGTATATCAAAAACCAAAAGCATGCAGACACTCCTTCTATTCAGCAATTTTAAATGGCCTATAGGCTACATTTTTCTTGTATATTATCCCCCCAGCCCCTTTGGTCCACTTATGATGTTTGTGAGGGTTTACAAACCAAAATAGTCCTAATTCATTTCTGCATGATCATTTACCAACCTCACTTTGTCCCTTACAATTAGAGAGGTTGTTTATGTCACCATGTCTGAGATATGTAAATGATCTCTCTCCTGTACTGTGCCTGGTCATAAAAAGCAGCCTAGACCTTATAACTACAGGGGGCTAAACTGCTGTAGGCTTAATAGATGTAACTTCAAAATCAGCTTTTTTTGTTTTGTGGACTGCATGGACTGGGCAGTGAACCGTACACTGTGAAATTTTAAGAGTGTTTACATGCTACATTTTTGTTTTATTTAGAAAAAATGAAAATTTGCATTTTTATCATATTGTCTCTTTAAGGTGCACCTGTTGATGCTGAAACAGGTCTTCCAATAGAATGGGATGCTCTGGAGCCTAGGGCCACCATGCCCAATGCCAAGCATCAGATAAAAGGGTATGAAGCCCCCCAGAAAAGGGCTGTGGAGCAGTGTAACTGTGTTCTCCGAAGTGACCTGGAGCTCCATCCAGTACCTTAGGGATGAGTTGGAGTGGAGTCCAGAACTGATCATCCAACATCAGTGCCTGATCTCACTCATAGTGTTGTGGCTGAGTGCAATCAAGTCCTCTAATTTGCTAGCCCCCTTTTACCCTGTTCTTCAGTGGTCAGGACTCCCACAGAGCAGGTACTATTTGGGTGGTAGATCATTCTCAGTACTGCAGTGACACTGACGTGGTGGTTCTGTGTTAGTGTATGTTGTGCTGGTCTGAGTGGATCAGACACAGCAGTGCTGTTGGAGTTTTTAAACACCTCAGTGTCACTGCGGGACTGAGAATAGTCCACCAACCAAAAATATCCAGTCAACATTGTCCTGTGACCACTGATGAAGGACTAGAGGATGACCTGCACAAACTGTGCAGCAACAGATGAGCTATCATCTCTGACTTAACATCTACAAGGTGGACCAGCAAAGCTAGATTGTCTAATAGAGTGGACACTGAGTGCACACAGTGTTTAAAAACTCCAGCAGCACTGCTGTGTCGGATCCACTCGTACCAGCGCAACACACGCTAACATACACCACCACGTCAGTGTTACTGCAGTGCTGAGAATGATCCACCACCCAAATAGTACCTGCTCTGTGGTGGTCCTGTTGGGGACCATTGTAGAACAGGGTAAAAGGGGGCTAAAAGTATGCAGAGAAACAGATGGACCACAGTCTGTGATTGCAGAACTACAAAGTGCTCCTATATAGTAAGTGGAGCTGATAAAGTGGACAATAAGTGTTGAAACAACAATGCTGGCAAGTGATGAGTCGAGCCAGTCAGAAAGTGAACTAGTGCTGTAAATCAAACACGTCGTCTGCTGGGCGGTGTTTGGGAGTTAGCCCTGCCTGCTGAAGGCTCTGTACACAGAGCGCAACCCAAAAAAAAACTACAGCAGCGCTGCCACAGAAGTGAAAGAGGAAGGAAGAGCAACGATTTCCTCGCCAGAATGTGTGACCGCGCGCAGCAGGAAGATTCGAGGCGTCTGCGAAATATCTTTATTTTGCTGTGAGGCGTGTTGCGTCTCAAGTTTCTTTCGCTAGACTGAAATATAAATAATAATAAATATTATAAAAATGGCGAGGCTGAGCGAGCATGGGATCCGTCTCAGTTCTGTGCGTATTATTCATGCAAACAAACTACGTCGTAGTAACTGTGTTGTATTGCAATGTGCCATATGATGCGTCTGTGTCCTTCTAGATGAGTCCGTCTTACCTGGACAGCAACTCCACCAGTCACACGTGGCCGTTCAGTGCTGTCGCAGAGCTCGTAGGTAAGACGTTAAGCTTGTTTCTCGCAGCCTGGAGAACTGAAAACAGCTTTCTTCCAAGGTTTCGCTTTAGCAGATCCACTTCCGCACAGGACTCCAGCTCCAGCTTGATAGAACATGAGCACCTGCTGCTGCTGCGCGTCCAGCCGAGCGTTGACCTGTGCGTCACGGCCAGAAATGCGCAAACAGCAGCGAGCTCTCTTCTGAAACGAGGCTATTAGAGACCGTTGAACAGAGTGCATTCCGTTTTTTACTGTGTGCACAGCTTCTTGCTTGTTTAATGGTAAAGACTAGTCTGAGAATAGGGGCTGGTGCAAGCTGCTGGACAATGCAGTCGTTGACCCTGCTGTGGACAGAAATGCAAACATGCAAATAAACAGGGAACTGCTGTTTACACCATGCCATTGACTTAAAAGGGATTGACATCTGTTTTTCAAAATTTCTGCTTAATTAAGTGGTTAAGATGCAGACAAAGTCATCCAGAGTGGTTTGGTGGGAAATGCTGTGTTCTAGAGAAACTTACAGAGTCAGAGTTGTTCACAGTGGTGGTGATAGAAACCAGACGTCTGAAGGTTTAATGCCTCTGAAAGCTCCATCACATGTTTAGTTTATTATGTGGAGTGGGTATGTGTGTGCAGTCTGATGCCTGAGACATTTTTTTAAGATAGTTTTGAAATAAGATTTTGGCCTGGAAAGTATTTCATAGAGAGTATATTTTTCTTTTTGAATTTGCCTCTATTTTTATTGTTATTAGCATGCGAAAGTTCAATAAGTGAATATAAATAAACATGTCCTTTGCAGCAAACAAACTTAAATATTACATTTTTCTGCACATTTTAATGCACAATTTTTGTTTACCATTTTGGAAATAAAAACATAAAATAACTTTTGCACAGGACACATTTTATATTTATTTTTCCCCAGCATGTTAAACTCACCAAATAAACAGTAAATTGTGTAGTGTTCCCTGTAGAGGATGTATTAACTTATTTTCACTTAGATAATCAGAAAAAAATTTGACCAGGGGTGCCCAAACTTTTGCATATGACTGTAAAAACTCAGAAGCCATATTTAGGTTCAGTGGTTGTTGAGTAGTAAATAAAATGGCTACATTTGCATTGTAGACATTGCGACTCCTGGTTCCTGTAACCGCCAATGTAAGGACATCTGAGCTGACAAATTTCTGTAGTGTACTCTTTCACATCAGGCCACTCTGAATGACTTTTTACATCTCAACAATTGAATTATACTGATATTTTGAAAAACTGGTGGAGTTTTCCTTTAACCAAATCAGTTACCAATTATACTAGTCTGTTCAATGCCTGACAAGCTAGCAGTGTGTAGCTTGCTTGTTTCAAAGTAAGCTTCATTTACTTAGAGGGAATGTACACCGAGTGCAGAAATAAACTCTTTCTCTGTGACTCATTTGCATTCACAACTGTTGGAGGAACACGTGTAACTGAGTAGCCTTATATATTTGTTCAACTGTCTGTATGTACTTCTCTTGTCTCATAGCACAGCTGTATGTGAGCTATGGCAATGTATCGACCATTTATCCACATATCCTAAATGTGTGTAAAAAGTGTAGCCCACTGATTTGCTGCTTCTCTGTGTTGTAGATAATGCGTCTGACCCAGGAGTCACGGCCAAGCAGATCTGGATTGATGTGGTGACCGTAAAGGGGCACCAGTGTCTCAGCTTTGTTGATAATGGCAGCGGAATGACACCCAACAAACTGCATAAAATGCTCAGGTAAGTTGATTTAGAACACACCCTGTTTAGGCATGGTGTCTGTTGACACTGCATAACCAGGCCAACTGTCATCTGTGGAAGATAATAGAGAAGTGCTTATGGAGGAGAACTGTTAGACATACCCCAGTCTCAGAATACAGAATACAGTAATTAATCATACTTCTTTGATAAATTACAAGCTACTGTTGCAAAAGAAACACTACTTTTTGAATGCTTTACAAGCCAAGGTTTTAGTTTTTGCTTATAAACACAAATTTGTGGAATCAACTGAACCTCTACTTTTTTTAATAAGCTACAAGCGACAAATAATCCGTATGAAACTACACCATGCTTACGTCGTGCTGACGACTGTGACTTTTGTGGGTAAAGCCTCAGAGGGGTGCTTTATTAAACCGTGCTCAGGACAATGGGTTTTGAGGAGAAGAGCTGTGGGAGAGGATATTTGCTGGTGTGCAGGATCCAAGCAATGTAATCAAGGGAAGTGTTCATGTATGGAGAGCTAGTGTTGATCATGAAGAACACTGATGTATTGTTTACTTGCTGTATTGTTTAGTAACAGTATAATATACATAGTACTTATCAAAGAATTCCTAATAGTCCATATAATAAGCAGAGGTTTTTTCCAACTGCCTGGACAGCTCTGCTGGTGGTTTGATCTGACTAGAGAAGCCAGGCCATTGGAACAAAATCCTGGGAAGGATTTTTACTTTCTGGACCTGAATTTTACACCTCTGATAATAGGCCTTACGATTAATAAGTGATTACTACACCTTGTGTTCAAGGGGTTAACCTGACCTTGTTTCCTTAAAGACATAATGGTTTCTGTCTCTGTAATGCAGTAGAAACTTTTGTTTCCTAGACATCCTGAGACAGTGAAAATCTGGCATGTTTCCTTTTATTCATGAACTTGTGGATGTGGATTGATGCGTTTTGCTCTTGCTTCTCTTTTTCTTTAGTTTTGGTTTCACTGAGAAAGGATCAGGTAAGGGCACTCACCCGGCCATAGGGGTCTATGGCAATGGCTTCAAGTCAGGTTCAATGCGTTTGGGTCGCGATGCTCTGATCTTCACAAAGAATGGAGGATGTCAGAGTGTGGGCATGCTCTCTCAGACCTTCCTACAGGCCATCAAAGCTCAGGCTGTCATAGTACCTATCACTCCCTTCAACCAACAGACTAATATCCTTTATGGACTCTTCATAATATTTCGGTTTTATTATCTAACTAAAATTAAAATTGCAGCCGGTGGTGGAAGTAGTGCTCAAGCGTTGATGAAACATTGCTACAGTTACAATTAAAGATCTGGCAATCAGAAATGAAAAATCTACTTGACTACTATACTAAAATGTACTTAAGTGTGAAATATGTTTCTATCCAAACATTTGCACTTGAACCTTTTATCAGAAGTAAAAGACAGATCTTGGTGGTTTCTCTCTCTGCTCACTTCAACTTAAAATATACACGGTTGACCACAGTAGTTGGTGAGTAGTTGCTAATACGATACCATCAAAATAAATGAGAAGAGGAGGTGGTTTGACTTACCAACTGAAAACATGTTGACATTAATAGACCTGAAGTCATGCCTCATTCTGTAGTTGACGTCATGCCCATAACAGAAGCTCCGGATGTAAGATTTTCTCTGTGAGAAAAATGATTGATGTTGAAAACTAGAGCTTTTGTATCCAGTCTTGATCAAAAATGCTCCAGATACTTTTTGCCATATGAACATTTTTTCTCTGAATGTTGGCAGATGCACTGCATTACGAGCTGGTTAAGGAGCCAAAAATATGAGTGCTGCTACAGCCAAGCTAACACTGCTGCACATTGAATTGACATCATAAGGCCTGGCAACTTCAGCAAAATACCCCTCACAAGGCAGTAAGCTTTATTAAATGTGCTAGTTAAACTGCTTTAGCAGTTATAGGTTTGAGTAGCTTGTGCTGATACATAACAGTGTTGAAGTTTAATAGTTGACTTTTGTGCAGCGTCATGTCAGGGCATAGGAGTGTTAGCTTGCTTGTAGCATGTGTGTTGCATTCTTTGTATTTTGACTGGTAAGTGATCTCATAATTCAGAGGATCCAGTGGCACTCACGGGGAAAATGTACACAGGTCAAAACATATCATGCTTAATGCATTTTTGTTCACCACAGGACGGAATAGCAGTGATCTTCAAAAACGGCATTGATTTTTCTCATATAGAAAATCTACTTTGACCCAGAGTTCCTGATAAGGACATGAGATCCACTACAGAACATCTGAGGTCTATTGCAATTGTATTATATGGTGAGATAACAGATTACATACATGCTGATTGTTTGACTGAATGGAAATGTATGGCATAATTTAATTACCGGCACCAACTGTAGTAGAGTGGAAGTTCCTAAAGTTCAAGGAACTGTAAATAACCAAGTACAGTACAAATACTCAAGAATGGTACATAAGTAGTAGAGATGAAACAGTATGAAAATGTAATATCATGATTATAGTGAGTAAAATTATCACAGTTATCAGCATTATCGGGGTATATGCTAAAAAAGTTCTGATACACAACTGAGATAATTTCACTAAATTTATATTGAAAACCACAAATAATATTGGCAGTAAATAAAAAAAAATTGTGTTTTTAAAGGCAAAACTTAAGCTTTTTTTAATCTGGTCCAGTATTTCCATACATGGCTCAAGTTCTTAACCTCTTAAAAGGCCAGAGCCTCCCGGCAGGCCTGAAGTTTTATTACACACTTCTATAACCTAAGGATAGCTCAATCAGTTTGCATTGAAGTCCCTGTAGTTACTGAATAATAAGCCTTAGTAATAAGCCTGGGATTTTAAGGGGTTAAATGAGCTTGTAAGGAAGACTTGAATTTCCAAGTGAGGACACAAAGGATGCGTTATTCATCACAAATTCAGCATGTGCTTGTTGTTTCTAGAAGGCTTGGTATAATATAGGCTAATTTGTGGTTGTTTCAGAATATCATGGTAATGTTGAAGAAGGCAAATTAAATAGCATTGTTTTCCAATGTTCAGTTCTTCCTGACAGCAAGGTAGGCTAATTGAGTCTGTTTACTGAACTTCAGACAAATGCAAATGATGCTGTCACATTCTAGTTATGCTGGAAAATCCATACAGAAGAAGGAAATAAAATGGACTAAACAATGTTCTGTTTCAAGAATATGCAAATACAGACATACATAGAATTCATTCTTAATGGGCATTCATCTAACTTTGAGGCTGAGCCGTCCTACCAAACATGCACAAATCATTAATATAGCGTAGTAACTCTGTGTTTTAAACGTTTAATTGTGCATTTAATTGTAATTCAGTGCCGAGTCAGCTCAATATTATAACTCATAAGCTGATTTAGCCTGTCAAAATATCCTAATTATTCTTTTAATGCTGGTGACAATTTCTGATAAGGTCATTCGCCAGCTTCTGCCTGAGTCGCCAGAATGTAACCGCTGTGTAATTTAAGGTGGAATGGGAAAATTTGAACAAGCAGCTGGCGAACAAGAAGCCAACATGAGCTTCTTAGTTTTATTGCTGGTAGGCTTTTTTGATAAGAACGTTTAAAACATCCTACCGAGAGGTTTTATGTAGGGAGCTACCTATAAATATGCACTACGGTAGGACATTTTGGCAAGAAAGTGCAATTCGTCAGAACACATTCAGTATCAAGTAGTGGGTGGTGGCTCAGTGTTTTCTTTCTGCATGTTCTGCAAAAAGGGTGACCATCTTCAATTAAGTTTCCCTCTGCACTCTTAAAAACAAAATATGGCCACGCTTCCCAGACTCATTCTTCTTACAAGGCTAAAAAATCTGTGGCATGCCCACCATGTTTTTTTACTGACACAAAACAAACCCAGACTGGGTGGTGGGCTTGCGCGTCTCCATCTGGAAGACTGTTGCTAACTTTGGTTGATGCTGGATGGTATTTAACGTGAGTTTTTCAAAGCAGGGTGACTGACCACGATTTTAATGATAATTAAAAATTGAAACAGTAACTCTAAATGTCAGGAATTTTACCATGGTTCACCTTGACACCAGTAACTGTTTCATCCCTCGTAGGTAGTTCTTTACTTGAACTCAGCTACTCTCCACCCTGGCCTCAAATCTATTTAATGGGCGTTCCAAACGCGCTCTAAAACTAATTGTCTAGTCTGTGTAACCAAGTAATGCATTTAACATGTTTGTATGTGTGCTCTTCTTTTGTGCCATCCATCCTTAACTGTTCCTGTCTCACAGTCTTTGGTAATAACTGAGGATTCTGAGGCAAGTCTGAGAGCCATACTCACTCATTCCATCTTCAAGTCAGTGTTTGAGCTACAGGAACAGCTGGACTCAATCCCAGGCAAGAAGGGCACCAAGATCCTCATCTGGAACATACGCAGGTGTGTGGTATATAGCTACACCATCACATAAGGATGTCCCAATACATTTTTTTTTCAGATCCCAGTACTTTCATATCAACTATCAACAAATACTGAAATGAGGTACCAGTCAGTGTCTTTGAAACTGTACAGTAAAACCACTTTTTTTAGACTTAGACAGACTTTATTGTCATTCAAATCTACACCGTACAGTGCGCATTAGACCGAAATTACGTTGCATTGGCTCAGAGTACATTGGGGAGAAGAAAAAAAAAGAAGTTGTTGTTGAAACAAGCATAACAGTACAAACTGTTGTGAGTATGTTATGATTTCATTCCACTTTAACACTGTTACTGCTAATGGCATTTTAAAAACCAGAATGAGTGCACAGCACAGCAGAAATTTCGACAAGTGGCAAAAAATAACTTGAAGCGTAAATAGCTGTGCATTCATATTTTACGTACAAATAGTTTCACCATATTTTGATGAAAGGCGGCTAGCCCAGGTGATAAAATGGCATTGCACGTCTTTAAAATAGCCATTATTCTGCTGCAAGAAGTGCTCTTTATTGAACACACTGGCAGAAATGGGCACATATGGAACACCAAGTTTGAGGGGGAGGTCATCTCTAGTCACTGCCTTCACGGTGGCCCCCCTCAAAAACAAAATCCACACATTATACCACTCCCCAACACATAACGCAACGTAGAAAACAACATAAAACAACACAACAAGACCCTTTTTCAGAGGGTGTGTACCACAGGCATTTGCGTGTGGCCATCTGCATAGCCACACCTCCAAATTCTCAGGCGCCAGTGCCAGCCAGTAGCAGACCGCTATACTTTTTGCCATGTTTCAATAAAGGCTTTTTAAACTTTTTCTAAGGATGGTGTACCCGAGGTTTCTTTGCTCTGGAATTTATTTTACACATGCCTTGTGGATGCGGATGGATACTTTTTTGGGTTTTTTGCCTCTCCCAGCATGGAACCATTTCTTTTTTGAGTTTTCTGCACCCATGCCCCAGGAGCGCCTGTCTTTTTTGTTTCATTTTTGTGACCTCTGTAGTGTTTCTTCATTTCTTTTGTTTCATGCCTTTACTCTAATTCAGCAGTTTCACTAGTTCAGCAAGTCTGTGAAATAAAGGTGATATTTCGGTTTTGTGAATTTACATGTAAACTAACAACAGTAGTAGTAAAATACAGTATTTTTTTATTTACATACATTTAGCTGTTTTTTTTTTTAATGGACATTGCCGATTACATTTTACAGTACTTTGACAATGAAAATTGTTTTTTTTACAGTGTATGTTGTGGATAATGTCCATTTATGGTGTGTCTATGACATAAATTGAGCAAACAAAATATGGTATTAATTGAGCATCGGCTACAATTCTGATCTGCTGAGTTGGATCTCCATAGCCCTGTGTGTCACTGTTTGACAGCGCTTGTGTGCTGTTTGAAAAAGACTATGATTTTGAGAATCTAAAGATATTTATATAGCTGGGTTAAAACTGGGATTGATAAACAAAGATTTTCATAAACACCTGTACACTGCACTGTCTAATTGAAGTAAGTCAAACTGACTTGCAAGTTTCTTGAGATCATAGGTATGAATCATTCACAGAGGTTGAAATTCTATAGAATCCTCTCTGTAGCCCACATCTTTACAGGCAGGTTGCAAAGCAACTTAAGTTCTAATGAAATCCTCATACTCATTTAAGAGTTTTTTGTTCATCAAACTACTTAAGTACACATAAACAATTTGGATGAATTATTGCCAAAATGAGATTTTTTGCACATACCAGATGATTTTGTACAAGTAAATGTGGTCAGTATGGCGGATTTTGAATGTGTTGAGCATATTATGAGCTGCAGTCGTTCAGTCTACATGACATAAAGATCATTTCTTGCACATCATTCATTTGCATGATTTGAATATTTTATGTACTACCAACTAGGTTTTCATTGACACAATGCACCCATGGTTTGCTTTGACATGAGTAAAAGATCATGTGCTCATCAGATGCACCAGTGTATGTTCTGCCTGATATTATGTTGGGGAGTTCATTTTACTACCATCAGGCCCTAAAAGCAGCCCCTGTCCTAGTGGCATAGCCAGTCTTTAAAACTTTACAGCATAATAGGAATAAAATGAAAATTTCCCTGAATGAACTGGTGTTTTAGTGTTGTCTTTGCTTCACTGACAGGAACAAGGATGGAAAGCCTGAGTTTGACTTTGATACAGATAGGGAAGACATTCGCCTGCCTGAGATCCGTTCTGAGGAGATGGAGGGGAAAGGCAAGAAGAGTTACTTTGGCCTTCGGAGAACTGACCACATCGTTCCAGAGATGGACTATTCTCTCAGAGTGAGTGAGGGAGGGAGGAGAGGGGATCAGGGAGGGATAGAGGGATGGATAATGGAGTTGAGATGAAGAGAGGAAACAGACTGAAGAGTCAGAGGTTATAAAACAGTTTTATACAGTTTTTATACATGTATTTGACCATCTGTCTCCCTCTTTCCTTTTCTCTCTCTCAGGCATATCTCAGCATTCTCTATTTGAAACCCAGGATCCAGATCATCCTCAGGCAGAAGAAAGTTCAGACCAAACTAGTGGCTAAAAGTCTGTCCATGATTGAGAATGATGTTTACAAACCACAATTCATTGTATCCTTTTATACACCTCTGATTGAAAGGGGTATATCAGCTAAAATATCCGCTGTCCACAAAAGAACGAGAAAGGAAACCATTGGGAGGTCTTAATGTGCAGTGGTACAGAATGTATTTGTAGCATTTCTATTTTTACACTCGTCATGAGTGAAAAACATAGTGGGAGTTTATTAGTAGTGCCTGGCTGGTAAGCGGCAAAACTTTCTTACATTATCCTTAACCGTGCCCAACTCAGAACGAACGCGTGAAGATTACCTTTGGCTTCAACCGCAAAAACAAAGATCATTATGGCATCATGATGTACCATAACAACAGGCTTATCAAGTCCTACGAGAAAGTGGGATGCCAGATTAAGGTACTGGATGCAAACATGGCCATGGATGGGATCCTGTATTTCTGGCTGATTTCATGGTTGTAGTCTGATTCTTTCTAAAACTGTATGAAAATGGAAAGGTCAGGGCATTTTTAGTCTCAGCCTCAGACCGCACATAAACACAGTGTCTGATATCTGTTGCACGTTAAGCTGGCCATAGTTTTGTCAGTTCCATTCTGATGGGCTCTCTGTTCCGTAGGTTTTAATCATCCATTTTGCTGGTGCTGGGATTTGAACCCACAGCCTTCTGGTTACTGTCTCGCCGCGCTCTCATTGATTCTTATTGATTCTCTCTCTTTCTCTTTTATAGTCTTCAGGACAAAGATCAGGAGTTGGTGTTATTGGAGTTATTGAGTGTAACTTTCTCAAACCAGCTCATAACAAGCAGGACTTTGAGTACACCAAAGAGTACAGGTAAACCAAACATTGTCACAGAGTACAGATTGTATATTTAAGTATATTTAAAGTGATATTTTGCCATGAGAGAAATTTTGCTATGCATAGAATTTCTGCTGAACTGACAGCTACTACAGACACCTGCAGATTTCATAGATTTAACTGCATAGATTTAACTGTTCATTCTTGTCCTCTTAGGCTCACTATAGCTGCTCTCGGCCTTAAACTCAACGACTACTGGCGTGAGAAAAAAGAAAAAAAAGCCAAAGAGAGAGCGTTCCGAGCCCTAGAGAAGAAAAGTGAAGAGGGGAATATGGAGGAAGATGAAGAGGATGAAGAGGAGGAGGAGGAAGAAGTGTAAGCCGTAGTCTCTGTCATGTTGCTATTAGACAAACAAAAGTAATGATGGTATATGTCTGAGAATAGCCTGTTAAACTTGGTGCTGGACCTCTGACACCTGCCCCCAAATTCCTCTATACTGTGCCGGTTTCATGTTCAGAGTACAATCAATACCAGAAGCAAAACAAGATAACTAGTGAAACACTGTTTTTCCCTCGCAAGAGATAATGGCCTTATCAGCAGGAGCTTGTGAGTTTGATCCCTGGCCATGCTACAGATATCTGTGCCCAGGAGTCCAAGAGAGTTTAACTGGTCTCACCTTCTCTGGGTGGGTAGGATGACCCTCCCTCATCACTCAGTGGGCTACTAGACAACACAGGCATCCTGTAGCTGATGTAACAGAATTGGCAGTTAGCACTCTCTTCCAAGCATGCTGACCTGTCCTGTGAATTGTTAACAATAAAAATCCACATTATCTCATTGATAATCAACATCATTGACTTATTGCTGCCGCCCCACACAGATAATCTTGTAAGTCTGACATCAGGATGGCCACATGCGAAAAATCAGATTTGCTAGAGAGCTTGTTTACATATCATAGCTTTTTGCGATGTCAGTATTGCAAAGGCCAATATTATGATACCGATTGGCATACGATACATTGTTTAGTAGCTTTTTTTTGCTCTTTTTCGTGTGCTACACATTCTTTTATTGCTTCGCCTCTATTGAACAGTTTCCTTTGTACAATAATTCTAATCTGTGGTTAGTCAAAAACATTAGTGTAGAAAAAATGGCTCTTAATTAAAGGAAATACAAACAGAACATCACCAACTGATTAACTGCACATGTGCATGCTTTGAACACCACTTTAAAGTATGTACAGGAAAAGTATTCACGTTAAAAGTTGAAAGAGTAGATAATCAGACTGGCAAAGAATGTTGAGTACATGCGTGAAACAAAGAAACTGTGGTACCTCAGATGTACTCTCCAGTAGAGAGTGAAATTGGCGAGCTTGTCCAGAGGAAGGGTGCCAGTTAGTTGCCAGAGTGGTTTAATGATAACCACTATAGTTAGCATTATACTGTTGTTTGCAAAAATCTGAACACCCACAGTCAAATTCTGTTTTGTTTGTTTTGTAAGGGAAAATAAGTTACCACATTGTCTATAGGGAACAAATTTGAACACGACATTTTTCTGCCAATTTTAGTGCACAATTTTTGTTTATCTGCTGAATTTAATAGATTGGAAATAAAATAAAAAATGTTCCAAGGCCACATTTGAGTCTTTTTTCGATAAATGCCACAAATACACAATAATTGTGCATTAAAATGTGCAAAAGCATGGTCTCTGTAGACAATGTGTACTTATTTTCCCTTCAAAATATAATTTGATCAATTTGACTTTTGCATACACCTGTATGAGGCTGTATACTCTAGCCCAGTCAGTGATTCTACGGTAAATAACTACCATCAGGGAAAATGCACCCTATAGGATATGGCTATGAAATGCTCACATGTGGTACTTCCTAACTGAATTTGGATCACGATGACATCATTTATCGTGATAATTTTGCAGACGGTAATCATTCATTGTTGTCCAAGCTTGTGTAGCCCCTCCTTAAAACCCCCTTCTACAACATTTCTAACCAGTGAGTGTGTGCTGATTTTGTGTGCCACACTGCCTGCAAGTATCTGCCCTGCCACTGGCCACTGCTGCTAAACCTTAATAAGGCACCTGTGTTCCATTGTTTTGATGGCCAGAAACTCTCCCTGGTGTACATACACAAGGTTAAAAAAAATGTAACTCACAGTCAACTAATGATTTATGGAGATTTTCTAATATCTTAGAATGTGTGGAATTGGAATGGCTGAAATCGCTTAGTGAGAATGAATGCTGTTGTTTAGTTGTTATTGCCCAAATCTACACTGCACTAACATTTGATGGGTAAACAGAGAAGGCTTGTGTAGCTAAAAACAGGCTGTTTCGATAGCAGGCAGCTTTTCTGTTAGACCACAGGGTTCACACGTTTACTCTGTGACTCTCAAACACTCGTTCACACACAAACCCCAGACTTCTTGAGCTGGTGATAAAGATAAGGAAACTGTCACGTCAAACCTGCCTCTGAGTATGAATAGAAAGCGGAGGAAAGAGAAGGAACTTTATCTGCAGATCAGCTTAAAAGGAAATAGCAGCTGGCTGTGTGGCTAACTGAAGCGTACGTGTTGTAAACTCTCTGTATAAAATGCTAAAAAGTGAGCTGTGACACTTCATCTGAAATGAGATTTTGATGAAAATTAACACTTGTTAAACACACATTAAACTTGTTATTTTCTGTCTCATAGGGATGTGACATGGATTCAGTGTGAGGACTGTATGAAGTGGAGGGGTATTCCCACTCATCTGTTCTCAGGGAAGGTTCCTGAGCCCTTCACTTGTAGCCAGCATCCCACGGCCCGTCTCAGGTCAGAGCTAACACTCCCCTTTTCACAGCCTCACCCACACCTTCACATCCACCTGTCTGCTCACTCACGTGTTGCCTGTAGTCCACAGTAACCACACACCATTGCTTCACTTCTTGCAAGCGTATTCTGAAAGCCACACTACGTGGCTGTCAACTTTGCTTTGCTTAAGCTGATCTTTAGCTTTTAAGTTGCATCCACCAAACTTGGTAGAAATTATTTTTAAGCGTTTTCTTGTTGGATACACCCATCATTTATGCAAAAATAATGGCATCGTATCCTGCTTTTTTATTGTTTTTTTTTCCCGTAATCCACTTGTGAAAATTATATAGACTGTTTTTGATACTGTCCTTAAGACTGATGTCTGTAAATGACCTCTGATTTGTTAATTGGATGACTTGTATTGTGCCTCATTCAGAAAGCAGTTCTGGGGCCATATTACAGAAACTTCCTCTTTTTGTCTTAACTTAAGATCTGACAGCTCAAGATAAGATTTTTCACAAACTCGTATTACAGAAGAAACTCTTATGTTAATTTAGAAATCATATCTTACTGTATCTATTCTCAAGTTCGGAAATCTTAACTTACTCGATTGAAGTCGACAATGATGGTCATGTTTGTTACCTAGCAACTGACCATGGCACAACTGAAACATAAACACATAATCAAAATAATCAAGTTAGTTAGCCAGACAGCTAACGTTAGCTACCGTTATTGATGGAAGAAAGCTTAAACAAAACTAAAGCGCAATAAACTTGAAGTTAAGAACATTGAGACAGCGCTTCATGCTGTTTATCAGAGCATCGCGGCTCCACAGTTTCAGTTTCCCAGATGCTTTAGCTGACAGCGCTAACGTTATTCCTCCTAGTAAACAGACACACGTTCAGTCTCTTCATTATTCACCACCATCACTGTAAGATTTTATCTGACTAATCAACATCATTATTAACACATGAAGGTAATAAGAGGAAATGGTGGTGGTCATGTCTGCAGTGTAAAACCCTCTTAAGTCAAAGCACCATTTTCAGTGTAGATAAATGTAGCATCATTATGCTAGTTACAGTGAACTGTGCTGCCTGTCACTGAATAAAACGATAGAAACGGACACCTCTGGAGTTTTTTTAAAGTTAGAACAGAATTTAGGAGATTTACTCTAGTTAGGATGTTTCTGTAATACTGTTTTCTTATCTGGAGTTAATGGATAATGTTGATCTGAAATAGCTTCTGTCCTAATTTCAGTACTAACTGAAGTTGTTATGGTGACTAATCAAATGAGATAAGATTTCAGACTTAAGAAGTTTCTGTAATACAGCTCCAGGCTTCTCACTTCGGTGTGAATGGACTGGCTAACCTGCTGTGAGCTGAATTGGCAGATACATGTAAATACATGGGTTTTTCAGACACCACAAAAGCAATAAGTTCAAAACAGGCCACTTGTGCAACTTAATGACTATGTGTGAGCTGTATGGACCGAACAGTGAACAGTACCTTTTGCACCTTTAACAGTGTTTACATGCTACAACTCTTTTATTTAAAAAAGTGAGAAAAATCTGATAACATTTTTTCTTTTCACCCACAAGTGAAATGTTGAATATGATTCACTTATCGCTCAAGGACTGTGCTGATGACATCAGAATGCTTGTGCTGTTTATAGGCCATTGTGATGTAATTCGTGCAGCAGGCCACTCACAGATAGCACTGATGACATCACAGTGCCTTGCCCTTTGCACTGATTACACTTGTAATTGATGAAAGACAAATGCTGTGTTTACATGTTGCCACAAAAAAGGTCATCATAGGTGTATGTGTCCGATGGAGGCATGAAGACGCGCAAACGTTGCCACGATTATCAGAGGAGAGCAGCGTATTTTGTTTGTTTAAGGTGAAAAAAGTCAGGCAGATGCTCTAAACTACTTATTATATATTTATACTATATATTTGTACTATTTATATAATGCTGGGTGCGTCTAGACTCCAAGAATGAGACGTTGGCTTCCATGGCTTCCAGAAAAATCAGCATCAAGTTCTTTCCACCAGAGTGGTCGATGGCAAAAGACAGGAGACTCCGAACTCTCATTCTGCACACAGCTGTGGTCAGTGGACTGTTGCCACTTCCAGTGGCAGGATTTTCTGTCGCAGCTCCGTTGAAAACAGTGGAATATCTGATTGACTCTCAACATGTAAACACAGCATAAGGTTTCAAAGTGTATTTTTTCCCATCCACTTACGGAGTGGATTATTCAGTGTGATTCTAATTGTAACTATAACTTACGGGCCATGAGCGAATCATTGTGATGCCATCAGTGCAGCTTGGCACTCACAGACTGCACTGATGACATCACAGTGCTTGTGCTTTTCGTGCTGAATACAGTTGTGATTTGTGAAGTACTAAAGTTTAAGTTGATCATTTTTCCCATTCGCTTAAATTGTGGAATATTCAGTGTGATTCACTGAATATTACACAATATACACACACATACAGGCCGACGCTGAACTACTCCTTAGTTCTATACAAGACGTATATCTGTCACTGTCTTATCGAAACTGTCTCTCTCTCTATATTTTTGTGTTTCTATTGTTCTGTTTAATTGAGCATATCAACATTTATTTATGTTTACTTCTTTGCCTTCTTCTATGAAGGTACCATTTTGGAGATGTATTGTAACTCCTCGTGATTAAGACATTTTCAAGCAGGCTTTTGGCCTGATAAAAAGTTACCCTATACCCCGTCTCAGCACCCAATGAGAGAACTGTATTTTGCTCAATTTTTTATGTATTTTAGTAACATAATACAGTGTATATACCGTGTTATAAAATACATACCTTACCTGTCTTCTTTATTTGTACATTGTTTTGTCTTGCTGGCCCTCAGCCCACCAAAGACATTGTTTTTGGCCCCCCAAGACAAAAACATTTAGAGTAACACAGTAGGGTGCTTTCACACCACGTTACCTGTTTTCCACAGAACCTCTGAACTACCTCTCAACGTTGGAACATAAACTGTGGCAGTAATACTGATTAAAGAGTTTGTGTGTGTGTGTGTACGTGTGTGTGTGTGTACGTTCACATGCTGTCAGCAGACAACCACAATCAACTGACTTCATGTTGTCTTTGTGTTGTTTCTTAAAGGAGCTGCTTAGTGCCAGAGGAACCAGAGGAGGCGGTGGACGAGCTGACACCCAGCTATGAGAAAACACACAAAAAACAGTAAAGTGACCATTAGCAGCCGTTCTCTGAGTGTACAGATGCATGTGTGAAAAACAGAGAGAGAGAGAAAGAGAAAGAGAGAGAGAGAGAGAGAGAGATGGTCAGAATGTGGCATTATAGGTTACTGTTAAACCACATCCTGAGTACTCAACTGTGAGAACCGTGTGTGTGTAAAAGACAGACATTTTTTTTCATTTGAATTATATATGACAACATTTGTAATCTGCTACAAACACTGGCTGAGTGTTTAATTGTTTGTAGGGAACCAGGCCCGGTCAAAAGAAGAGGAAAATCTGTGGAGGTGAGGAGAGACAAAGCATGTGCATGTGCACATACACAAACATGCACACAAAATCTCACAAAGAGCAGTGATCTTTTTTGCACAGCCAACACCGTAAAAAGTCAGATACTTTGCCTATGTCTATAACATAAGTGTAGTATCTGAGTTCTATTATTATGTGTTATGCTGTGCTGGCTTGTGAATATGACTTAAAATGTCAAATTAGTGCAACAGATAAAACTACAAACTCTGATGACAGTAAATAAACAGTTTAGCGGCTATTTTCGTAAGTGCTTCTCAAATAAGATGATTTTACAGAGATGGACGCCATCTCTTTTAAATATGTATATATATATATATATATGTCGGAGCAAATTATATGCTGTTGATGATCAGCAAAATATAACTATAACTGGACAGGTTTGAAGTGTGATATATGATGTAATTCATTGCAATTACTCAGTCTATAACAATTACAATTAAATGAACTGCATTTCGAGGATGTGCTGTATAACTGAATTTTAAAGCAACAATTACAAACCTTTAGGAGTTATCATTCAGTTTGAAGCCATGAGTGGTTTACAATCAGACAGGTGAAGGTATCTACCTAATTATAGATCGTAGATCACAGTAGTAGACCATCTACTATGGAAAGTCCCTTTGCAGTTTAGTGGTAAGATCATGGCAGTAGCGGAAGCAGTTCAGTTGGCAGAAAACAATACTAAGTAAAAGTGCAGTCATTTAAAGTAACAAAGTCTCACCCTAAAAAGTGTAACTATGGAACATTTTTACTCCTGTTTGTCTTTAACTTAAGTAGGACACAATAATATAAACATACACAGGCATGCACACAGAAGACCTCTAACTTCCTCTGCCCGTTTTCTTTTTTGTCTCTGTAAAGAACTGTCGGATGTCTATAAATTTCTCAAAAAAAGGAAAATGTCATGTACGTTTACAGTGTGAGGTTAAGTGTCATTAACCGCAGCTTACACTTTGTGGAGGAAGCATAGAGAAGCTGTGGCTTGACTGGGGAAAAACAGACTGTGTAGTGCACATGTACAGCCAAGTTTCTTCATATACAGTGTGCAGTGTGCATCCAAACTGTTCAGCAAGAGCAACTATCATGCTCCACTTTAAGACCAAATACATGCATATTTTGTGACTGTTGATAAGCAGTAAATATAAAATAAACCAAACCACTTGGTGTGCAAGTGTGTCTTTGCTTTTCATTTTGTATATTAGCTTATGCAAACATACAGTATGGACAAAATGAAACAAGTGTACATGTCTTAATGATAATGCTTAAATGAAAGCTAACGGCTGCAGTGTGTCTCATTTCCCCATGAATACACTGCAGGTATTATGAGTTTTTTTGGTTTTCATGGCTTGTGGTTCTCCTCCTGCTAGCCCCTCCCATTCTCTGTAGTAGAGATCAGGAGGAAATGTTTAAGGCTATGTGCTAAAATTATTCCAGAGTTTACCTGTACCTATTTTTGCACATAGCATATAAAGTCTTACATGAACTCTGATTGACACCTTATATTTAAATATCATGTTTTACATTACATTCCTCTAAAGCTAAACATCCTCACTCTGCTCTCATAGAGACACTACTAAAATGGATTTGGAATTTTGTGTGTGTTTGTGTGTTTAGGCGAGTAAAGGTGTGGCCCAGCCTCAGAGCAAAGAGCCCTCTTCAGAAGCCAGAGTGGATGAAGCTGTCATGGACACAAATCATAAGGACAAAGAAAACGACTCCACGCCAGAGCCTTCAAACTCACACGGGTCTGAAAACGACACCCTTGTAATCCAGTTTATTACAGTACAGACTGTTCCTTCTACAGTCTAGTGGGATTACATAGAGCCAAAGAGTGGGCTACCATTCAGTATGGTAGAGGACCATGCTAAGATTGTTCACAATAAATATTCACCACATGTTGCTAATTGTAATGTTCTGTTCCTCATTTGCAGCAACAAAAGGAAAGCAACATGGTCAAACAATGACATAGGCAGCAAGTCCCCTAAACGTGCTGATCCTTCTGGTGAAGGAGAAAAAATAACTGCAACAACAGCAACAACAGAAAATACTTCAGAAACTGAAAAGGCAGACAACAACAAGGCCCAGGCCCCAAGTACAGTGACCCAGGAGGACAAAATTCAAAATTCTACAGAGTGTCCTGCCATAGACTCAAACCAGAATCCTCCAGAACAGCAGGCCTCACATGGCCTTCAGCCTAAAGAGCAGCTCAGACTCGCCTCCAGCTCACTGGGCTGGCCTCACCCTCCCACCTCCCAGCCCTCCATGGCCTGGTCCCACCCACTTCCCCCAGCTCAGACCGTGGTGGTGCCTCCCCTCAGCCGCTCCAGCCGCCAGTCAGTTTCTCCCTTAACTGTAGAAGGCCTGGATCGGCCAGCGCTCACCCTGAGACTGGCTCAGCTGGAACGAGAAGCCAAACGGCTTAGGAAGACCCTCGGCCTTCAGGAGCCGGCTGTGGAAACAGCTACATTAGCGGAAGGGGAGGTGTCAGGTTCAGCAGTAGAGGGGGCGACAATACAAGGTGGGGGGACAACCCCCTCTGTTCAGAATACAGAGACATTAACGCCCAGTGCCTCTACAAAATCAGAGGTTGAAGACAAGGCAACAGCATCTACGGCATCCAAGGTGAGAATGAATGCTGTTGTAGTCAAGGCCAGAGGTGTAGTCTAAGTGACATGCAGATGTATGTCATGTACCCAGCAGGATACTGCTAGGGTTTGCATTATCCCATTTAAAAATGCTCTAACATACATGGGAAATTTGCGTATTTGGCTGTTGCTACAAATGTTTGTGATTTGACAGAAGAAAGGAAAGCACTAACAAGAAAAAAAAGCACTGATTTAACACTGACATTCAATCCTTAACCTCAGCCAAAGAAAATAAAAACCTCACTCAACATCAAGCTTGTTAACAAAATGAAAACGAACCTTAAGGTGTTTTACACGTCCCAGTCACACAATCATCACAACTTATTACTAGGAATACTTCTTCCTTGGAAAAGAGTTTTGACGTTGCTAATCCCCTTTAGAATCTCAAAATGTCACAGAAAAGTTTCCCACTCAGTGATAACAGCCTCTCAGAGACAGTTACATGCTTCACAATTCATGGTAAGGTAATGTTATTCTTAGCCACCGACAGCAATTTAATTGGCCCTGTAGACATAACAGTACTAATTCCATAGAATTCCAAGAAAAATAATAAAACATGCAGTAAAAATATTTAGTGAAAAATATTTATTAATATATTTTAAGTGAAATTACTTCATGAATGTTACTTTAATGTGTTATAGCTATTTATCTAGCTAGCTAACCTACATTACTACATACATATTACATACATACATACATTACTAAGCTATGCTAGCTTTGTTAACCATGAGAAATATGTGGTGGTCACTGCAAATACACAGTTCCTTATCTTGGTAGATCAGGTTGTGCATTCAAAGTGTTCCGACTACTTCAGACCACGTGTCAGGCTCCAGTCCTTGTGGGCCACAGCACTGCACACTTAAGCGTTCTAACTCATTAAACTGATTCAACTCTTCAGCTAAGAGACAAGGCTTTAATCCATTCAGAGTGTTAGATGAGGGAAAACACATATCTCCACAGAGCTGTGGACTGGAAGGAACCCAGTTTGACCTTCCTGGATTATACTATTCCACTGGTCAGTGCTGTAATTTGTCTGCTGCATGGCGAGTTCACTCAGTGCTCACTTAGCAGCCTGAGCTCAGAAAACCTTTACACAAAAAGATCAGGTCAGCACCTCAGTTATTCATGTTATTCAAAAATGTTAACTCTTAAGAGTGTGTAATCTAGGTGTTTTTCTCTTGTTCTTCAGAAAACAGAAGCTCAGTCGGACAAACAAAGCTCAATACAAAGAAATGGCAGTCCCTCAGCCCAGCAGGGGGCACCAATGAGTCCCACAGATGATCTACATTGGAGCAAGACATTGGCCAAACTGCAGAGCCAAAACCAGGCTCTCTTTACAGAAGTAAATAAACTGAAAAAAGAGAAGGAGCAGCTTCTGAGCAAAGTGAGACAAGTAGAGAGAGAAACACGGGACAGAAGAGACCAAAGCACCAGCACACCCTCTAATGTTAATGATAGGTGTGTACACAAACATCAAAAATTCAGTTACTCCTCTTTAAAGTTAAATCAAGCATTTTGCCATTACTTTAAAGGAATACTCCAGTGTTGCTGTTTTGTTATTACTCTATTCTCTGATGTCTGTCACAAGACATTTATTTTTGGTTTAAAATTTAGTTCTGGTTTAAAAAATGTTATATAGTCATGCATTTAAAACATGTATTCAGAAAATTCAGCAACTGCCCAATGGTTTTTAGTAGGTGAGTTCTTAATCAACAGGTTTTCAATTCTTTTTACATACAAGGAAACATGTTAGTGTCTGTGGGAATGGACAGTACAATGCAGTTGTGACTAATAGAGATTTTGGGAAAAAGAAATGCTGGAGTATTGCTTTAACCCATTCCTTTCTCTGTAATTCAGATTACACTATATGGCCAAAGGTATGTGAGCTTGTTGGACATCTATTTCCAAAACCATGGTTATTAATATGGAGTTGGCCTTCTTTGTGGTTATAGCAGCCTCCACTCTTCTGAGAAGGCTTTCCACAAGATTTTGCAGTGTGTCTGTGTGAATTTGTGTCTGTTCTGTCAAAAAAAGCATTTGAGAAGTGAGGCACTGATGTTGGACGAGAAGGCCTGGCTCACAGACGACAATCCTATTCATCACAGAGGTGTTCAGTGATGTTGAGGTCAGGGCTCTGTGCAGGCCACTGGAGTTCCTCTACGTCAAATTCATGAAACCATGTCTTCATGAACTTCGCTTTGCACACATGGGCAGAGTCATGCTGGAACAGGAAGGGGTGTGGCTACAAAGTTGAAAGCATATAATTATCCAAAATGGCTTTGTATGCTGCAGCATTAACATTATTGTTGACTGGAACTAAGGGGCCCTGAGAAACCCTGAGAAACAGCCCCAGACCATTATCTCTCCACCACTAAACTTTACTGTTGCCACTCTGCACTTTGGTAGGTAGCATTCTCCTGACATCCACCAAACCCAGATTCATCCACCAGACTGCCAAACAGATTCCAGAGAACGCATTTCCACTGCTCCAGAGTCCTGTTCTGAGGCTGCGTGCTTTCACCACTCTATGCATAGCATCCCAACGGAGGTGATACCAAAATAGTACTAGGTACCTGGTTTGCCTAATGAAAAGCCGAAAAAGGCAAGTAGAGTCGAGTTGATGGATACCATGGAGTGGAAAAGTGGCTTAAGATGCTTCCAACTCACAATAATAGCACTTGCAGTTGACCGGGGCAGATCTAGTAGAGCATAACTGAATTGTGCCAGAGGTTCCACCCAGTGCCACGTTTAAAGTCGCTGAGCTGTTAAGTACGACCAGTTCTACTGCCAATGTTTGTCTATGAAGATTGCATGGCTGTGTGTTTGATTTTATACACCTCTTAGCAGTGGGTGTGGCCATATAGTGTATCTCAGTTGCTCCTTTCCTATCTCTACAGTGTTAAGCACTCTTCTCTTTTCTTTGCTTCTTTCTCTTCCTCTCCATTCCCTCTCATCCCTTTATTGATCTCAAAAGAAATAAGCTTCTCTTTGGCTGTTTCTTTTTACAGTATTGCACTGGAGCGATTACGTGCTATCCGTCGGAATGTTGTGTCTCTCCTGTCCTCCATCCTGCCTAATTTGGACATGCAGGGTATCAGCTATGACACAGGGGATGTGGACAGCATCCTGCAGCAGATCATCCAAGTTAACAACCTCTGACCTCAGTTCAGTGCTTGTAACTGAGCTCCACAAGAAGGATGCATTTACACCACAAGCCACTTGTTTCAGCACACTGCCTGGAACGAACCTGTTTATCCTGATATTTCATCCTGTTGCATACAGATCTGAGTATTGGTACTACTTTGTCGTATATAGATGATGCCTGAACACAAGCATTAACCCCACAAATATTAAGCACATGATGCTGATCTTCATTGTGCTATGGTAAATGTATAGGTTATTGACTGCAAGGGTGGCTCTGCAAATATCAAGCAAAAATATAACATTTAGAAGTTTTACTTTTTTTCCCCCCCAAGTCAAACTTTTTTCGTTTTCAGCAATGCCGTGGCATCTGCAGAGCTTCATACTGCTGTAAAAGAAAAAAAAACAATTTTGTTCAGGCAGAGTAGAGTTAGAGAGAGTGCTCAAAGTAATAGTCACTCTACCATTTCACAGTGCTCTTTGTGTTATGCTTTATTTGGCCAAATCCTTTTTGTTTTTCTAAAAAGACAGTTGTGTGTCCCACATAATTATTGTACTATATTATTCTCAAGGGATCCTTCAGCAATAAAGTAAACTTGTTTAAGTACTTTTCAATAATTGCATATTCAAATTACTGAGGGAACTTAGAAAATTGGAAATTATAATGCATTTTCCTACCAAATCTTGACGCTTTTCAGAGCAAAACAAGGTGTCGAGGAGGGTCACTGAGCTAGCTGAGCATTTTCGCTTGATATGTGGGGTCAAGGAACTGGTAGCACATTTAGAAGGCAGACTGCTGAAAAGAATGACGTCGCACTCCTCTTCAGCGGATTTAAGCTCGGACATAAAGACACACAACTTTGTTTATACATAGTTTATTACACAGTATAATACAGTACTGATCAATGACAAATTTTAAAAACAAATATTTGAATGAGCAAATAACCAGTTATATGGATTAAATACTGTATGCACATTGTGACAATAGATACTTCTTTTTACTGAGACAAACATTTGTGGGAAATTCAGTAAGAGGAAGTAAACATAAAATCTTTTCTTTATACATTAATAAGCAGATTCAGCAAAGGACACTGGTTACTTTCACAGTGCAGCATGAAAATAATGAAGCATTCACACACTTGGTTTGTTGAAAGATGTTTACGATACAGTTCACAGGCACAGAATGAGAGTTTGATAGTAAAGATCTGCTCAAACTGCACATGTACACATGCTTAGTAGTGATTTAGAGGGTTAACTGGATATATACAGCATATTACCATATACCATATTAGCATATCAGGCTATTTTACTTTCTCTAGCCCCGATCTGTCTGGATCCACAACAATGCAACATCGTCTGATCTCCACCTTTCTTCGGAATCTCATTCTCTGCAATCCATTTCACCAGAATACAGTTAGCTGCACCTGTCTGAGGGAAACATTTCTGCCAATAGCTAAGCTAGTTAGCAGGGAGTACCTGAGGGGGTGAGTTTAGGGTTGCTCAATGTGGACAAAGTACTGTGACACACCTTACAATATACTGAAAACATACTGGTGAGCCCTTGATAAGACCTGCATTAAGTGTGCCTGCATTATGTAATGTTTGTTGGATCATATGAGTGCTTTGATTGATTAATCACAACATTCAAAGGCCGCTCATCTGGAGTATTTAAGATTGGTCTGGTTGCTCATAAGAGACAGAAATGTTGTAGTTTGTTGGAGGGCTCATTTGCATTTGTGGCCTTCTACAATATATCTGCCAATAGTGTAATAATGATTAACAAATAACATTGTGCAGCTGTAGTGATACCTAGTAGGACTAAACAAGAGGTCACATATTAGTGCAGCCAGCCATATAATGTTGGAAACTACTATATGACTGTGCTGATTACAATCAGAATCCACTCACATTTCAAATTAAAGTGGGTCTTGTCTTCAAAGAATGCATGATGGCCAGCTTTGAGACATCTTTTCCTCTGACATGAACGGTTCCACTAAGGGTCTGTTTAAAGCTAGCAACCCCATGAGGATGATCAGACTGTTGTTCCTGAATGGAATGTCAATATAACCAGTTTTAAATGAAAAAAGTGTAGTTGGCCTCATTTATATCAGGTTAGAGACTAAGGTCTATTTAAAGCTCTTTTATTTAGTACAAAGGTAACAATTAAAATAAAAGATTATAAAGGGCAAACTACTGAGTGAAGAAAAAAATCAAAAGTATTGTGACAGTGCAAACAGATGCGTTACTACATACAGATTGAACAATAAAAACAGGTCATATAAGGAAATAAGCAGATATTTACAGTTTGAGACAACTAATACCAAGTGCTTAGAGACATTGCATATACTTGAAATTAGGTGGCAAGCAACAGCCATGATAAAGTGTCTGGAATAGAAGATCCTGTTTCAGTCAAGTAACTAAGAATATGCCAAAAAAGGAGAGCAGTGTCTGAAAATTCTAGGACTGCAATTGGTTCTAGGTTTGTCAAGCCTGGATAAATTGCATGTTCTGTTTTTTGAACTTGTACGCAATGCAGGCACTACAATAATGAATTATGGGAAATGTAGTTAGGAAAAAGATCATAATTTACAAATATTTTTGCGATTGTACTTGCTTAATGTACTAGTGTTTTAAGAATATTGCAACTAAAACAATCTAGGTTCAAGAAGTAATTTTAAAATGCAATAAAAGCTGGGGTGAGTCCCTATCATATCTGAAGGACATCGTTAATGTAAAGCTAATGGGCAGTTGCTGGCTACTGGCCCTCTAAGAATTTTCACGCAACAGAACTCACTAACAGAACTTTTATCCACATCCATACCAGATCATTTCAGTAAGGCAATGATGCTTTGGAGGAGAAAGCTGCTAAACACACACACACACACACACACACACACACACACACACACACACACACACACACACACACACACACACACTTTCAATGGCCCTGAACCACGGCTAAAAGTGTGGAGGGACAAAAGACAAAGGTGACGCAGAGGGATTTGAAAGAACTAGAGTTTAACAAACGCTATTCTCAAAAAGGACACTTCCTATTTTAAAACTCACTGCCTGATTATGACACATACTTAGTGTAAGATTACTTTAGAAAACTGCCACGTAATTATGGAATAAAGCAATGCTTACCTTTTAAACCAAACATTTTAAACGGAACAGCAGTGTATTTGGTTTCATCCCGCTTATTTAGATGATATAATTCCACGAAACACAATTCCAAGTGTTGTTATTAAAACTTAAAATGTGCAGGTTTGGAGTCTAACGCTACATGTTGCAATCTGTGGTCTGATGGTAAACTCTATTAACAAGTACTGACCTCAGGTCAACCACATACCCTAATCAGCGGTAAACACAAAAAGCGACATAAACTCAACACTGGCCTATTTGCAGCCCAGGGACACAGGCTGAGGACTGACCTAAGATCTAAAAGTAGATTCTAGCGGTTGAAAAGTGCTTGCCTGGGAGGACAAAGACCAAATGAGCAAAAGTGCTGAGAACTAAGGCTCACTACACGGTGTGAAGGTGAGAGGAATGAGAGAGCGAACATTAAAAGGCTAGCGCTCGCAAGAGTCAAATCTGTGTACATAATAATCATGAATCACGTCTTGGGCAAACTCTCATCCAAAAAAAACACGCATGCTTGGTCTGCATCTGTGCAAGTACGTGCTTGTATGTGTTCTCAAGTGGAGAGTTGAGCTAGCTCATGGTCGCTGGATGAACTGATCTGTCTTTCTACAGCTCTCTGGGCCTTACAGGCAGCCATCTTACTTGTAATGTCGTGTTTCTTCTCAAAGTAGTTTACCAGAGCCGGTTCTGTTAGCAAAGATGCCAGCACCTGCTCAAATGAGATCGACCAATCGGCATCTGGTGCACTACCCCGCCTACAATCATTCCCACCTATAGCTCCGCCTATTCCACCTCCGCAGCCAATCAGAACAGTGTCGTCTGCGATGTCCTCGCACTGCAGAGAGCCAGCGCTGACAACGGAATATGACGAAATTGACGTGTCGTCCTTCGCTTCTTCATCTGACCCATTGGCTGGTGGGGTCGGGTTCTCTAGCTGGGCCTCTGCCAGGGCTTTTGACACAAGGGATTGTCCACCCTCCCCAGAAGAGTCCTCTTTTTCTTGTTGTGGGACATCTTCTGCTACAAGAGCCTGGAGTTCAGGCTTTTTGCTGCCATTGTTGGTGAATTTCTTGCCCACCTCTCCAATGCGCAGCAGCAGACTGGCCACTGTAGCGATGGCATGATAGAGCTCCTGCTCCAGAGGGTCCTCACTGAACATATTGTAGAGTGTCTTGCACAGCTCAATGAACTGCTCCTGAATACAAAACAGGGCATCATCAAATATGTGGCATATTAACATACATGACTTATAGTTGCAGCCATAAAATTATTAAAATCTAACAAGTGTACATAGGTAGCAAGAGCTGAAGTCTTGTGTAGTTTGTGCTCTGGGAAGATACTTCTTTACAAGGCGTTCTTTCTTCAGTTACTTCTCATTCCGAAATAGGAATAAGTCACGTGGCCAGTTATGTGACAAGTGCCACAGGGCAGCAGAGACCATGACAGCTTATGGCTCTGTGCTCCAGTTGTGGCATTCTTCACATTTAAAGTGAGTCTGATTCCCAGTCAGTGCAAATTAACTAATTATGTGTGGGACCTTTAAATTATCAAGCAGCTTCCTTTTGCTCAGAATAGGCTTACTATTCATAGCAAAGCTAGGTTAATTTTGCATGTGCAGTGAAAAAGTAGTTTTTTCAGAAACTGGCCAATTTTCAGCTTTAAAATATCAATAACATTCACTCAATTAACTGAACAGTGTTCACCCAAAGCATTCTCCCTGTGAAGCGATTTCTTTAATGAACACTCCTGCATAACTAGCAGTAAAGCAGTAAAGGAAGTGGTTGTAGCACAGGCAGAGTATGGGAATAAGCACCTGAGTTTTGTGCACCCCCTACTGGCCAGAACTAAAATTATTTCACTGTGTTACAGTTTGAAAGGGAAAATTCTGAAAAGAATATTTTTTCTATTTGAACTGGTAGAATAGTGATTATAGGGAATTTATCATGTTATTATGATCCTAAACCACATTTTTTTACTAAAGCTAAACCATGACTTACAGATGAAGCTATTGCCTCCGGTATGCAGTGTCAATAATCCTAGTGCTTCATCACATCAGTAGGTTCATTATGAATGTTTGCTTGTGCATATATAAAAAAACATCATTGCTTGCATACCCTTACAGCTTTATCTATAAACTGATTTCCACCTATAGGTCAAGTGTGTGTACACAAGAACCAATAGTAATTCAATTTACCTGGTTCATTCTGGGCAAGTCTTTGATGGTCTCTTTCTTAGGTTCTTTCTCTTTAGCCCACATTCTTAGGTAATACTTATAGTCCTTGACTTTCTCTTCTAAACAACAAAAGATCAGCAACATGAGCAACAGTTTTATTGTGGATGTAATAATTCATCCCTATCTCTTTCTATTAGTCAGAATCTGCTAATTCCAGACAATGGCTTTCAATTCCATTGATATATTTATTAAATGCTGTAACACTCTAAAAAGAAATCTGCCTGCCCCTGGGTCATGGGTTCTCCCAAGTGCCAAAAAAAACAAAACACCATCGATAAATAATAATAATAATAATAATAATGATAAGAAGAAGAAGAAGGAGAAACACAATAACAGCAAGTACCTTTCTTGTCTTCCGAGTCTCCTCCTGCTTCACCTGCCTCCTTCGCTTCCTTTACCTCTTCGCCTGCAGAGTGAACATTTTAGTAAAATGCTAATAATGTCTGTATAACAATTTCACACATAGTAGCAACCACAATAGAGTAGTATATTTTATTATGTTAACTGTACAAGTAGGATTAGTGTAAGGAATTATGTAAGATAGTAACTGAGATCAATGTCCATTTAATTAGACACTCATACATCACATCGAGTATCAAAAGAAAGAAAAAGACATAGACAGGAAACTGCATTTCACATACTGGACACTGGTGTTGCTCGATGTATCGAAAGTTCAATACATTTAGATGTAAAGTACCTCATAGATCTGGCTTGTAACTCACTCACATTTACCAAGATTGTCCACAAGGGGAAGCTACTGGCACTCTAGTGACTAGGGTGAGGACAAGCTTGTCTTAAATGAAAAGCCTGAGAATATTGAGCATTGTGGAAGTGCATGCTTTCTAGGACGTCTAGGGTACTACATGCTCGTGCTTCTCATGAATAACACAGTATCCTTGTATAGTGGGGTCAACAGACAAATAGTCACTTCTTCACTACTTTCAATTCTTTATTTAAGGAGGCCGACACTGTGTACATGCCATATTACACCTATAGGTGAATCAAAACTGTGCATATTTATTCAGTATCGTAATTCAGTATGCATCACAATATCTTGGCACACAGACACAACGCACTAGTAGAGCTACATTTAAAAACTGCTGTAGAATCTATGGATCTTGTGATTATCTTTTTTCAACAATTTAAACACTGCACTGCACTAAATCCAATTAAACAGGACTAATACTCTTTTTAATAACACACACAGTGAGTCAGTGTTCATTATGTACTGATATCAACAACATGCTCAGAAAAGTGTAATGTTTATAACTAAATTTATCCTAATAACTAAAATATTCTGATATTCTGGTTCTAATTCTGGTATTAGTACTGAAGTCAAAGTTCTGGTTTTGTAAGAAACATACTGTATACGGAGGACTTCATTCACAGAATCAAATCAAACCTGAGAGAAACAGCTTGAAAGAGACTGACAAGCGACAAAAATGTCCTTGGAATATAAGAAGCTGCTGTAGGTTGTGATGGTAAAATATCTGAGAGAAATTAGTCTCATTCTCCTGCTATTCTGCTGAACTGACACAAAAACAGCATTAAAATGCTTTTAGTTGTTACATCACAGACACAAACCTGAGGTCACTTCCTGGACCAGGAAGTCCAGATGAGACAAGGAGGGAGGATCTGGAGAGGTCAAACAGCCAGAGAGAAGAGAGGAAAAGAAAGAAGAGGATGGAGGAGAGAGAGATATAGACACAAAGATTGCCGGCAAAAGAAGGGAGGGGCAGACAGAGCAAATGAGACCACAGAGAAAATGAGAATGTACAGAGATTAAAGCTCATTCTGTTACTGATTAGTAGAACTGGACTGTTTCATGCAGCGACACATGCAGGGGTGGAATACAAATCTAAACACACATTTACTTTGAAAAAAGTGAAAAGACACTGACAAGACATTATCTATCTAAGATGCTTACTGAAAACCTCTTTTTAATCTATTTTTATGTTAAGAGCTATTCTTCAGAATCTGAAGGTAAGTGTATGTATTGGTATGTGTTTTTACCCTGTGGCGTGTCATCATCAGTGAAGAACTGAGTGGCCTCGAGCGCAGACTCTGCCTCTTCTGGACATAAAGCTGCAGGAATAGTAACAAAGTCAACATAAACATACACATACAGTGTGGGCTGCAACATCTGCAGATGGCTACAGAACTGTCCAGAGGCTGGGCATGTTTGGTTTATTTAAGTACTGGGTCAGTCGAGTGCGCATCAGTGTACGACCCATTATTTATGAATCAGGGCCATCATAATTACTCAATTAAACTTGGTCACTGAATTAAAAGAGTCTGAAAGGGAGTTTAATTTCTATGCATTTTTTGCCATGCAATGCTTTTAATTGTTACTATGTTTTTAAATCTATATACAGTACTGTATCTATGACCATATGACTGCAGATTTCACAGCAACAGAATAGACACCGTAATAAAGGCAAAGTGTGGACAAACTAAATACTGAAAGATGTGACATCATATTTAGTTGTTGAGGCTTGTGTATAATGCCTTGTTAATTATATAGTTTCTGCGTTTTTTCTGACACTGAAAAATGAATAACTTGCACTTAACAGCCGATTTAAAATGATGAGTGGTCTCTGACTTTTGCACAGTACTCCATTTAATAAAGAATTCTGGAATCTGTGACAGGCTATGTAGTTTTTCATTGTGTAGTTAGTCACATTTTTAATGTTTTGCATTTTTTAAAAACTACTGAATTACAATTACTGAATTACTTAGATATTAATATCAGTGATATTGACAGCCATAACAGGACTATAACTGGAAGGGTAAGCGCAAGCTGACTCAAACAACACACACAAACACTTCCCCCACACATCACTAACACACTAATATGCTAGAGGGACAAGAATGTGCGCTGACTGCAGCAGCTCATTTCCTTAGGACATCCTGCGGTCTCCACTCTAAGCTAAGCATGGGTGTAAAAGCGTGAACATTCTGTGTTCAGGCTAAATGATCTCCCACTAACACAAAGTTGATTTAGGCAAAGTATTTTTCATGATAATATTCAAGTGGTCCCTCTGTGTCCACTTTAGTCGTCAGTATTGTTGTTATTTGGTATGTGTACCTGGAGGCAGGTGTAATTTATAGAGCAGCTTCAGCTTCTCAGTCATATCACCGTGATACATCCCACCTGAGAAAGAGAGGAATGGTAAACAAGAATACACTCTACATTAATGTCAACAGAGAAGACGAGTTGAGATTAAAACTTCAAACCATTAATATCAAACCCACTTGTCCTGTCTAAAGTAATACATAAGGTTATGTTGCTTTCAGGGACTTGACATGCAACTCTGAACAAGCATGTAAACTCAAAATGATGTTAGCTAATGTAAAAATGTATTTGCTAAAAATAAAAAATAGTGCTATAGAAAGATAAGTGTTCACTTTTTGCTTAAAATGTTTCAGGCTTTTACTTTTTTTTTGTCCGTCAATCTCACAAATGTCAATCTAACAATATCACAGGTGTTAATGACATAAGTGTGATTCATGACATCACAGGTGTGAATCAAGTTCAGAGCTTAAAGTGTCAGGGAATTTTCCCAACCTATAAATATGAACAAATGATGCCCTTTAAATGACGTCTTCGAAACTTAAACCCTACTAGTGGTGAACCATTCGATGACATGGATGACCAAAACCTCCATAGACATTACTTTGTATAACATTGTAATCCTATTACAGGCCTGTGCCCGTAAAAGAGCCCTCTTATTCGGGTGACCATACAGAAAATAAGTAAGTGTGTGTGTGTGTGTGTGTGTGTGTGTGTGTGTGTGTGTGAGATTGTAGTCAAGACCAGTAGAGGAGATCTAGAGTCAAAACCAAGACCTGGGGCCGTATTACAGAAACTTCCTGTATTTTTGTTTTAAGTTAAGATCTGACAGTTCAAGATAACATTTTTCACAAATTTTGTCTAATGTCAAAACTGACGCTGTGGTCTGACGATATACTGAAATGTACATCGTAACTTACAGGCAGCTTTTTATACAGGCATGATATCTGCCTGCATCACTGAGCATGTTCAATCAGCAGCTGCAATTTTAGAACACATTTATCTATGTTAAGTATAGTATATGTGGAATTAATGTAGGATCACATCACCCAACAGTTCATTTATGTTCATGCATGGGAATACTAGTATTTCAAATATTTTCTCATCGTCACTAGGGGCTATTACCAAGGTAACTCTTGTTAGATGCAACCTGGCACAGGCTAACTACCATTTAAAATACTTTACAACATGCAGGCATGCATAATGACACAGTAATCCTCTCTCAGTATCCTTCTTACATAAGAAGGTTAATAATATCTAGTCAAACCAGTTTTGTAATTCATATTCTTAAGGGATTTAATGAGGAATATACACTCTCCATTTTCTCTTTTGGAGCAAGTCATGCACTCACTGAGGCCAGTGACGAACTCTTTGAAGTTGATGAGGGAGTCTTTGTTGCTGTCGAGCAGACGGAACAGGCGGGCAGAAAGTGTGGCTGTGTGCATGCCGCAGCTCCAGGGCGACAGCGCAGAGAAGAGCTGTCCGAACTGCCCACTGTCAATCCGGTACTGCTCCAGATAGGGCAGGCTTGGGTCATGGCGCTCTGCAGGAGTGCTACTTGCCCCCCAGTAACAACTCATTATGTGCTTGGCCTGAAGGAGGCAGAGTCAAATAAGGCAGATGTGTTAATATACAAATATATGGGAGATTCAGTCAGTTGTGGTTTAAATGTGAACCAAAAAAATAGTCTTTTACTGTATAAAATCTAAACCTATCCTGCACACATATTCTTGGTATGTATATATTATCCCACCCATTTCATCATATTTCTATTTTACTGGCGTTTTCCATAACTGAAAAACAAGCCTGTGTGTTTTCAGGACATGTGGGAACGCCATTCTTTACATTAGCTTCTGTATGACTTATCTGTTTAATTAGTTTACTGCACATATTCTTGGCATGTATGTACTATCCCACCCATTCTGTTGCACAAAAAGAAAAATACTAACTATAATGTAGGCCCTGTTCACACCTGTGTCTAATATCCACCTTGAGTGATCACAAGTGGACAGCATTAACTACAGTCACTTACACCTGGCTTTTCCATGGGTCTTGAATGCGTCTCCAATGACCACTTATGATTAAATTTTGTGACTGGAGGAATGAGCTACACAAATCCTCCAGTTTGTTCTGTAATGCAGAGGCAGTCTTTCGATGTCTTATATATATCGTATGGTCATATGCACCTCAATCACCTTCAAAGGAGTTTGATCACAATGAGTGACATGGTGCATCGAACCCTGTTCACACCTGTACTTATGATCGGTTAAACCAAGATGCATGCTAATGTCAGATATGAAACATGCCTTCCTGGGGCTATATGTTTCACAATGCATGCAGTAAACTTCTTTAGGAACTTCTTCAGGGTTCCAACTCTTTTAGGAGATAAATTTCCAGAACAATTTCCAAGACTTACACATTTAACAGCTGTTGCTTACAACAGGTCTTCTTAAACTGACGCACAATTGACACCCTTGCCATTAAAGTCAACAATACAACCCCACTAACTGTTCCTCAACCAATCACCGTTTGATTACAAGTTCCACTAAAATATTAGAAGCGATCGTTTCACACAGCAATAAGCTAGCACATGCTAATATAGCGCCGCTCTACCAGGCGTTGCAACACAGCATCCACGTACAGCTGTATGCAAAAGTTGAAGAACCTTGTTCAAATTACATATTTTGTTGGTTTTCTAAGTGAAAATGAGTTACACCCACTACAGAGAACAAACTTGTATGGAATTTTCTTCCAATTTTAGTGCACAATTTCTATTTTTTCCTTTCTTTTTTCTTTTTTTTTGCAAACATACTTGAGAAGTAAAAATTAAATGAAATGTGCCATAACTTTCACACAGATTACATACTGCCTAAATGAAAAAAAGCAACTGTGCATAAAAATTTGCATTAGAAGAGAATGTGTACTTATTTGAAAATTACGTGAAACTCAACAAAATGTAATTTGTCCAGGGTGCCCACACTTCTGCACATGACTGTATCTGTCCACATGTGATACTCACATTGCAAACAAGACGTATGAACAGACACGTAAACTGTGTATTAAAAGGTAAAAAATATGCTACAATATGCACTCTCTGTGGCAAAATGGCCCAATTTTACACTTTTCCAGGAGTTCACTAATATTTCTAGGACATTTTATCAAATTTCTTGCTGGCGTTTTCCATAACTGAAAAACAAGCCTATGTATTTCCAGGACATGTGGGTACCCTGTTCTTTAAATGAGCTTCTATAAGACTGATCTGTTTAATTAGTTTACTGGGGACAGACAACAGTACAAGTGTAATACAGAGACAGTTAATAACAGTGTACGGCCTTGCAGAGACATAACAAACATACGCACAGAGAGGAAAGTGACAGACAGTGAGTGCTCACCTTGAACAGCACATAAAGCTCCTCAAGCTCCTCAATAGCGAAGGCAGACTCTGTCATGATGGCCCTCACCTGCAAGCACACATCCAGTTACCCCACACAATCTTAGTGATTAACACATCTAATGTGTTTTGAAGCAAACATGCTCAGATGCGCACAGACTCACCACACTCCTCTTAGCTGTGTCCTCTAAAGACTGGATGACCTTTAACCTTTGCTTGAACCTCATCTGCTCAATGACATCAGCACGCAGACTACCAAACTTCTACAAAGAACGAGAAAAAAGAGAAAGAATGAGAGAGGGGCTGCTTGAGTGAGAGACGGAGAGATGCAGATTTAGGAAAATGTGTTTTTCAGGGGAATCGTAGTTCCCGCACATCTCACCTCATAGGACGTTTTAATGAGCTCAAAGACATCAATCTCTGGAGGTGGCTCATCACCACTGGTCAGCAGGGCGTGGAGGTGAGGGATAGGTGCAGCCACTGTCTGCTTGTTCACAACATTATCCAGATACCTGAACAAGAAGAGACAGAGAGAGATTTAGCATTATATTTCTCTACTCAAACGTTACATAATTGCTTTTCAACTCTGCAATTTCTACACTTACTTGCATCAGATGTTTCGATCCTTAATGTGAAACTGTGCTACATCTATGCAGGTAGGGTGCAAAATGTTTACTGGTGCTTTTATGCAACGCTTTTTATGTTCTACTGTACCACTCTGTACTATGTGTTACCAGAGAGACCCTCCGTCAGCATGGTACTGTGCTTCTCGTTCGTTGTGCGGTAGCCTTTAACTAGCTTTAGTAGTCTTTCTATACTTCTTTGTTTTGGACTAAACAGATAAGAAACACTGATCAAAATGTAAATTCAGGGCATTGAGTTAACATATGGTTAATATATAATGTCAGAGACAATAGAATTAGAATTAGAACAGAATTCAGAACTATTGGCCAACTGTGTTTGCACACAGAGGAATTAGTCCTCCGCATTCAACCCATCCATGCAGTGAAACACCCACATACATGCACACTAGTGAACACACACACACTAGGGGGCAGTGAGCACACCTGCCCGGAGCAGTGGGCAGCCCTATCCACGGCACCTGGGGAGCAGTTGGGGGTTAGGTGCCTTGCTCAAGGGCACTTCAGTCTCTCCTCAGTCACACCTGTCGGCTCAGGGGATCGAACCGGTGACCTTCCGGTCACAAGGCTGGTTCCCTAACCCACCCATGACTGTCCCAAGCTGACAAGCTAATTTGCATATTGAAAATCCTAATTTTCTTTTGGATTTTTTTTAGACTTTCATTGCTATTTAAATATTTGAAAGTTCTCTCTCATCCATAGTAGCTGGAATGAAAAACACGTGAAGTTCCTAGCATGACCTCATCACGTCATCAGAGCCCTGCCAGAATGTAAGTGCTGCACCATTTAAGGTGGAACAGAAAGCTAGCAAGCAAGCTATCTATCCTCAGGTGCATACCAGTTAACTTTACATTGATGTGTTTTATTATAGTCCAGTTTTAAAAATCACCAACATCTACATGTAAGAACAATGATCTGTAACTAATTATTTTGCATGTCAGTCAGGTGGCCCTTTCCTCTGAAAGTAGGTGATTATTGATGTTAAATGACTAAATGCCCCAGACTCTCTAGTACATATTGCTTGCAAGACTAAAATAAACACCCCAAAACCACATGACTTTAGGGAATGTAAAACATCACTCCTCATAACTTCCCCATAGACAACAACCGTGCAAAAGAGTGTCAATCTGACATAACAGCAGCAAATGCAGGAAAACCATTTCACAAACACTTTGTACCAGAATACATTAGGATAAGCAAAAAACATGCTCTGCTTTTCAGTAGAATTCCTCTTTACGTTTGAGTGCTGCCCTGTGACCCCAGACTGACCTGCCCAGTATGGTCATGGCCTCTCCCTCATCTGTGCAATCTAGCAGCTGCTCCATGTTAGCATGAAGCACAGCCAATGACACCTGAAACAGAGGAGAGAAAGCAAAATCTGTAACCAACACTGACCACAGATCCACACTGCCTGGAATAAACTAAATACAGCTTAAATAACAACTATCACCTGTAATATATTTACATTTTGTGTGTCAGACAGATGACGTCCGACAGTATCTTGAAATATCCACAGTAGTGCTGCCTGAAGGTTTTAGAGGTCAATAGCCCTGACTGTTTTTCTGCTCTAACACTTCTGATTCAACCTCAAAATTGCCTAATGAACTGGGTTGTATACATTAAAGCAAACTCAAAGCTAATATACACTATGGTCACTGAGGACTGAAGCTAGCCCTGGAAGAGTAAACTTCCAAATGCTACAAAACCAAGCTTATGAATGTGTTTGGTATATGTCTTTGTCTTCACCTGAAAGATGACCTTGATACCCTCATAGAAGAAGCAATCGACGAGCAGCACGGCACTGTCGAAAGGGCATGACAGAGAGGAAGAGTGTGAGGAACCAGGATAGAGAGATGGTGGAAATCACACCCAGGTCCTGCATGTGCTCGTACAGCAGCGGCAAACACTCCCGCGTAAGCTCCTCAAACACACCTTGATCCACCAGTGCTCCTGCTCACGCGCACACACACACACACACACACACACACACACACACACACACACACAGATACATGAATTTCTATGGAAATACACAGAAAAGAAAACCTGCATTTGTTGAAATAAGAGTCAATATCAAAGTAATGGTCCCTTGTAAAATGGACTATTTGGAGATTGCATGAATCTTCCTATATATGATCACTGACTGTGATGATGATGGTGCTGCGACAGTGAGGCAGAATCTTCTAATACAGGGCCTCTAACTGCGCTCTGTGTAAGGGTATGTGACTGACCTACAACTCTGGTGTTGTAGTAGTCGGGCAGCATCCTTTCACATAAGGCCACCAGCAGCCAGAACGCCTCCTCTTCAGTACAGTACAGCAACAACACTGAGGTTACTATATTCATGGCCTGTCAAGATGGGACACACTGATAAACACATTACAGCATAGCTGAAACACCAGATGATTAGTTATCAGGCAACGGTCCACTGACACAGAGATATACAGTGTGATCCTAGTCCTGGTATATTTTCAGTGGTCTAAAACATTTCTGTTCCCACAGGGTGGGGAGTGGAAAGAATGCAGAGTGGAGACAATTCCAATATTTTCCAATATATGCCAATATTTCATTTATTCAACATCTTATTAATATAAGTTTACATGATGCTTTACTATAAGATGAAATATAAACAAATTATTGAGAAAAATTACTGAAAAGCATTAAAAAAAATTATGAGAGGAAAACATTTAGGGTCATATTATAGAAACTTCCCATCTTTAGTACAAAATTAAGATCTGCCCAGGTCAAGATAAGATGTTTCACAAATTCATATTGCAAAATTAAATAAGAATTGAAAAAACGTTTTACAAGTACTAAGTGTGTCGGTTACTCGTTTTCAGTTAGAGAATTTCACAGGTTGTGGCAAAGTGAAAGCTGACTTCCCATGTTTCACCCAGAACTGCAAAGAACTGAGGGTAAAAATGATTTAGTAACTGGACGCAGTTAGCTGAGTTGAGTGTGTGCACTGCTGAAGTTTAAGATGTGTGTGTATACCTGACAATAGCCGATGCCCGGGTTGCGGTAGGCATATGCAGTAAGCACCCGTCGGAGAGCAGCTATGCCCATCTCGTTTTGGAAGGCATGGTGCTCTGGCATGGAACGATGCAGGTCCCTCTCAATCTCCTCCGTCGCTAACGTACATCTACCCATCGCCTGCTCAACCAGCTCCGCATAATAACCTGGGTGAGTCGCCATCTCATTCTGAGCACCTACACACAGAGAGAGAGAGAGAAGAGAGAGAGAGAGAGAGAGAGAGAGAGAGAGAGAGAGAGAGAGAGAGAGAGAGAGGTTAATACAACCCATTTCTAATAAAGTTCGGATGCTGTGAAAAATGTAAATAAAAACAAAATGCAATGATGTGCAGGTGCAGATCACTCAAACCCTATATTTCATTGAAAATGCTTCAAATACAATATATCAAATGAAACTGAGAAATATTATTGTTTTTTGAAAAATATATGTTGTTGGGCAACAAAAGACTGGTAAAGTTGTGTAATGCTAAAAAAAAAACACCTGGTGGTTTTTGGCAACAGGTCAGTAAAATGACTGGGTATAAAAAGAGCATCTCAGAGAGGCTGAGTCTTTCAGAAGCAAAGATGGGGAGGGGTTCACCACTCTGTGAAAGACTGCACAGGCAAATAGTGCAACAGTTCAAGAACAACGTTTCTCAACGTAAAATAGCAGAGAACTTTTGTGTTTCATCATCTACGGTGCATAATATCATTAAAATCATGGACACTGTGTCCTCCGGACAAAAGATCACTCAGGCTTGTTACCAGTGCACAGTTTAAAAGGCAGTATTCATGATGATATAGGGGTGCATTAGTGCACATGGCATGGGTGATGTGCACATCTGTGAAGGCACCATTAATGCTGACCATTATATACACGTTTTAGCAACATATGCTGCCCTCCAGACAACGTCTTTTTCAGGGAAGGCCTTGATTATTTCAGCAAGACAATGTAAAACCACATTCTGCATGTATTACAACAGCATTGCTCCGTATTAATAGAGTCCAGGTGCTAAACTGGCCTGCCTGCAATCCAGACCTGTCACCACTGAAAACATCTGGCGCATTATGAAATGAAAAATACGACAAAGGAGACCCCGAACTGTTAAGCAGCTGAAATCCTATGTTAAGCCAAAATGGGAAAACATTTCACTTTCAAAACTGCAGCAATTGGTCTCCTCAGTGCCCAACTGTTATAAAAAAGAGGTGATGAAACACAGTGGTAAACATGCCCCCGTCCCAAATTTTTGGAACGCTGTTGGCATCAAATTCAAAATGGAATGCAAAATTCTCAGTTTCAACATTTGATTTGTTGTCTTTATACTATTTTCAATGAAATATAGGGTTTAAATGATTTGCACATCATTGAATTTTGTTTTTATTTACATTTTGTACAGCATCCCAACTTTTTTGGAAATGGGGTTGTATCACTATATGTAGTGATGTCTGTGAATGCTTAAGTAAGTAAAGCTAGATTATAAACATCAATTGGCAGTGGCTCTATAGAGCTGGAGCTATTAGCCAATCAATGCTTATGTAATGTACAAGCCAGAAAGACAAAAAGACATGTAAATATTTGACTACACAGGCAAAATCTGACAGCATCCATATAAAACCCAGAAGATATGTTTATGTTTTTGAGTCAGCAGGTCATGTGATCATTATGAGTCACAGAATGAGGGCAGAAGTTCAAGTCAATGTGGTTGTTACCATGGCTGCATGTCAATTAGCCTGACAACAGCACAAATACAGGAGAGGAGTCACACGCTCCTCATTTACGCAAGAATTGAAGTTCAGGATTGATTTGTCTTAGCCTCATTGCTCAAACGCAGCTCTCAAAGTTGCCCACATATAAATCAGATTGAATGTGTTTACATGCACTTAATAATCCGGTAACTGCAGAAAATCAGATTGTGTCACTAATCCGATCAATGTGTTTATATGCACTTGAGCAATCAGTAAACGTGAAAACTCAGGTCTGCATGAGTCAGACAGTTATAAGATTTCTGCTTTGCAACCAGCCAATAAACTTGCAGAAGAAGATGGACATAAACGTAATGTAAAACTCAAACTTCATGCCGTGGCTTTTAATAAATAAATAAATAAATAAATAAAAACATTGCGCCACTTTACCTGAAAAATGAATACACTTTATCTAGGAAATAATGAATATTTAAATCCTTAATTTCATCGAGAATGTAGTTGGTTTCAGCGTCGCTCCAAAACTGTTGTGCTGCCATCTCTTCGCAATGTTGCTTGCTTATTTTCCGGTACAGCAGTCTGTTCTCCACATGCGCAGACTGATAAATCCGAAAGAAATCCGGGTACAAATATACATGCACTGAGAAATCTGATTACTGAGCTAAAATCCAGCTCTCTTTATTGGATTTCTTAATCAGATTTCTAGATGGGAGTATGGTGTTTAAGTGACCATTTGAATAATCAGATAACTGCAGAAATCAGACTAGGATTGGATTATTGAGAGCACGTACACACACTCATTCATATTAACCCCGCATTTTTAAAATCACATGCATGAGCTCATGATCAGACTCCACAAACCAGAATCCAAATGTCTTACATATCATTTTCCACCTTCTTTTGGCTTAAGAGCTGCTTCAACACTACATAAATCTGCTGAAAATGTGAACTCTTCTAGCTGGTGTCTGATGAAAGACAATTTATGTACTATGAACAGATAAACAAAACACAATCTTGACATTTTGCAATTTATTTGAAATATCAGTGTCTATTGTTAGACATACACAAAAGAAAAAAAATATTCATTAATTAAAAAGACTGTCAAACACTAACTCATATATTTTGTGAACAATAAAGAGTAAGAAAGTGTTAATGTTGTGCCAGAGGACATACAAGCTCTGTGCCCTTGCTGTTAGGGAGGAGTAGTTACCTGAAAAAAGTAGCCACAGCTCCCCTCTCAGACTCTCAGGAATCCCTTTCAGCACCAGGTCTCTTGTCTTAGACGTGCGGTACATACACACACCTCGCCCAAACTCAAAGAAATGGATATTCCAAGACTCTTCTTTCATCTTCTCTTTTGTCTAAATGAAGAAAGAAGTTGAATGAAAAAAGTAACTTTGAATGCCCGTTAGTTCTTGACTAAGACAGGCAATCCATCTATTCAACAGAATGGAGGAGCTCACTTCAAACAATGGCCAAAACACCTTGAATTTACACTTTCTAGTCCCCACTCTAGTTTTTATACCTCTATGAAAAACACAGTGAAACCCCTGAAGTGTGGGAAGGTCACTACAGCTAGGGAAGCTGATGAGAGGTTATTTTATATTGATACATACTGATCGCAGTATATTGTTACCATCATAAGAAAACCTTCTTCAAAATGATATGTTTTTAGAAGAAGAAAAGGGTTAAAGAAACAAAGGGTTTGCTTTCCAAGTTAGTCCATTCACCATGAAGCATTAATAAAATATGTAAGGCAAATGTTTAAAAAAGTTACAAAGCACCAAAAATGTTTAATTAATGTCACCCAGCAGGTGAAAGCTAGAGGTTCAGAGTGTGCTAGATGTGAGTTTGATGCAGTGAGCGCGCACCGCTTTGGGCCCCAGGTCTTCAGCTTGGTCCTTCTGGTAGATGCTGAGCAGGCCCTGCTTTGCTGTAGGGAGGCTGGAGCTGTAGTGTCGGCCCAGAGGGAGCTCCCCTGTCCCCAGGACTGGTGGGGTTGGCGGGAGAGAAGTAGGAGTGCTGGGACTTGGAGTTTCCTGACAGAAAAAGAAGGACATTTCAGATAAGAATAGACATTTTTCATGTTTGCTTCTTTAGTTTTGTCTAGTTACGAGGCTATTGTAACAAACAAGTAATGGAAGATTATAGCCACTAGTTAGCATCAAGAAAACTGCATGCTTAAGGAATTTTACCAAAAACTGCATTGAGCTGTTAAGTAATCTCACACAGCCTTGCTTATGTGGTTTCCAACACTGTATGCAGCCAGCATATGAAGGAGACTCCAGACAGCAATCATGTCTTGGTTGAATGATTACATTTGGAGTAATGAGGAAGGAAACTGCATAAATTAGATTTTCGGCTGGATCATTGCTTTAAGACCAAGTTGCTCACACAGACACAGATTCAAGCTAAAACTGAATCAACAGAACATATATCACGTCAGACCGATTTTTTGTTTTTGTTTTGAAGCAGACAATCTCTTGAATGCTGAGACACTTTTGTTAGATCATTTCATGGCCTCCCTTTGGTGTTTGAGTGACTCACAGACTGTCCAGCGAGTCCACAGAGCCTGTCAGGAGTGCGCTGCAGAAAGTCGGATATGCGTTGAACCAGGAAGTCCCGGTCTTTGAGGTTGGCAAACAGGAAGGTCATCTTATTTTTAGTGCTGATGGACAGCGGACTGGGCAAAACACTGCTGCTATCAGCTTTCTCTACTATAGACACCTGGAGACAGAAGACAGAGAGGAGGGAAAGAAGGAGACAATAAAAAAAATCATGTAATGTGAATATGAGAGAGAGAGAGAGAGAGAGAGAGAGAGAGAGAGAGAGAGAGAGAGAGAGAGAGAGTGAGAGTGAGAGTGAGAGTATCTCTGAGCAGTATAAAGAAATAGTAGTGTGTAGGGATGCATAGTATGTCCTTTGTTAATCCTTATCACCTTGGCAATACTGATATTCCAAGAGGCTGCAATATGCAAAATGAACCCTCTAACCAATCACAATTGCGTTCTGTGAGCATCCTAAAGGCAAAGTTCAGCAAAATATTAAAATGACCCAATTTTTTCACTTATACCAGACGAAGTCTGGAGTCCAAATTTTGCTAAGAGGCTAACATTAGGCAGACAGATACTAGAACTCAATAGTCAGCCAAACAGCCCATATCATAAATCAACTTACTGTGAACTACAAAAATGAACAGAACTTCACATCTATGGACAGCCATTTCAGACAACACCAATACCGATTCTACATCAGTACTCCTTCTCCTAAGGTGGTTTGTGAATGCATACTCTGCTGTCTAAAGCGAGTGCCCAGTTTTTGTGCGTTTTCAGAGTTCACAGTAAGTCATATTACATCCTAAACCATGTCGACAAGTCTGTGTGGCCTAAACAAAGAAGCAGATGCGGTCACAGTCACACTTTCATAAGGGAGCTTCTGTGTATTCATGAAATAAGATTTTTTCGGGCAAAAATAATGCACCAATTTTCACTTGTCACATTACAGACTAGGGCTGCAACAAATGACTAACTTAGTCGAATAATCGGTCGATTACTGAAGCGAATAATCAATTATTCGGATTATGAATCACTACATTACCAAATAACTTATGTAGCTATTAGGTTTTACATTTAGCTTCAGGTTATTTTATGCATTTGCTAACTAACAATGAAAACAATAAAGATGAATAACATTCAAGAATTCACTGTTTTAATGAACTTTCCTACTAATACAAAAAATAAAAAAATAAAACTCCAGTATATTTTTTTGCCCCTGCTGTTAGGGAGGATATACTCCAGTATATTTTTCCTGTCAAAATTTATAACCAAGGATGTGCAAAGTAGCAAAATAAAACAAAACTAAATCAGTTTTCCTTTAATCAAGTAAATAAAAAAAATCAATCTAAATTTAAATGTTAAATTTAAACAGTGCAGCCAGTGCTCTGTGCATTCTGCTGTCTGTCTACACTGTTACAACTAAATTCTACAACCGTAGGTCTTTATTGAAATGGAGGAAAGTCAGCTTCCCTGTGTGCTCTTGTGAGAGCAGATACAGCAGGGAAGACGCACTCTGATGGAGCGGAGGGGAAAATGGCGAATGTTTGTGGCAAACTTCTCTATGAACAATTAAATTTGAACGATTTTGTGTACTTCATTTCATCGGAAACCCTTCGTCCAGCTGCCCTTTATGTTCACAGAGAACTACCTTCTTATACTGTTAGCGAGTGGAGCCAAACGTTCACGGAGAACAGAAAACTGTTTGGAAACGCTCTCCCGTGTTCCGACGATCCAACGTTTAAAACTGTAAGCATTATCTGGAAAGTGAACAGGGTCGCTGTGAATAACAGTTACTTGCTTCTGTGTTGAAACTCCATTAACGATACCAGAGAACAGCATTTCAAAATACAAATGTTACAGCTCGGTTCACGGCATGAAGTAGGACAGAATTTAGCATTAACATCTGCGTGAGCTAACTAGCTCGATAGCACAACTATCACCGCGTCCCGAACCACACACTTCTGTACTTTACACACTACACTAATGAGTGCACTTCTAATGGTATATGCGCTATTTTTACACACTATTTAGTGTGCTAGTATGTGGTTTGGGACGTGGCACATCTTACCGAGATGTATCTTCACCCAGTGAGCCGACAAGTTTCCTCTTCAGACGCTCCATCATGGAGGATGTGCTCCGTGCCAGCTAAGATCAGCTTACAAATAGCACAACTGACCTTTTTCTGAGTTTAGCTCCACACTTTTGAGGATTTTGTTCTTGAGGCTGCCATCACGCTGTTGTTAAGTCTCCAGCAAGCAGTAATGTCAAAACGCTCCTAGTGAGCGTGAGAAAGACGCGTAATGACGTCACCAACTAATCGACTATTAAATTAGTTGCCAACTAATTTGGTCGTCGATTTTAGTTGACTAAGTCGAATAATCATTGCACCCCTATTACAGACTCACCAGTGGGTTTTTTAAGGTGTTTCACAATCACAATATGTAGTGGTATACACAGTACTAGTAATTTGCCCATACTATGCACCCCTAATAATGCACCAATGTATGTGGATGACACTACTTCTTAAACGGGAATGAGCGGTGACTGTGTATAACAGAGCTGACCTCTCTGAGTGGTATGATGAGTTGACATAGGTCCTCCTCTCTACTGGCAAAGCAGATGTAGTTGTTGGAAACAAACATCTGTCCAACGACATGCATCTTGGCAAAAGGTGTCCACAGGGTGCAGTCTGTGTGTCCATCTAGTCGTTCATCCTGCGTCAGGCGGAACAGAGCTCGATAGCGCTCGTTTTTTGCCCGTGCATCCAAGTCCCTGAAAAAAGCCCATAAACACAAAGTGTTTTATTCTGTCATCCGTTTTGATGGCCATTCCTCAGACTATCCCTGTGACAGAGCACACTTTACAGAGCAACGCAGGTCAAAGAGAAACAGTAGCAGAAAATATGGTACCACAGTTTTGGAATTAGGACAACAACCCTTCAAATCCCATAGCAGCATTACTGATCACACAACACCTTGCAAAAAGGTTAGGTCACCGGTGAGCAATGCAAATGTGTTTGCACAGAAAACCAATAACACTACAGTACATCAATACAATATATAATGGTTTGTGACTGTCAGTGTTAGCTTCACCATTTCCAAACCTTTCCTCGAGGAAGACCTGCATTTGTAGTAACCTTTCAATACCTGCTTCAGGAAATCAAAAATTATTTAATGCAAATCAGGCATGCTAGGATTGGAACTGAAAAAAGAAGATGAACCAAAACTGTGTTCTTCTAACCAACTCAAAACAAGACATTTTTGTCACCTGATATCATATTAATTTATTTTATTTGTCTTTGTCCTGATGTTATATTGAGGTGGCCAAAGTGGCTGATTTGCTATTTTGCTTTCTATCTGTTAATACTTAGTAGTTCCCAATCGATGACAGACACAGGTCAAACTCAAATAAACATCTTATATCTAAACATCTTATAGCACCAGTCATAAGTTAGAACTTTTGTCATTTTCATTAGATACATGGCGTGTTTTAAGAAACATACTATCCGGATTCTTTTATTTACATACGTTTTTTATTTTTTTTACTAAACCTAACCAGTAAAAACGCAGCCAATTCATGTTTTAATCGTTGAGATGTAAACATGTGACTGTGAAAGTTAACATCTGTGGAAAATAACTAGATCAGTTCAAATAACTGCGACCAGGCAATTATGTAATATTTTTGACAGGCCTATTCAAGATAAAGACTTCAGAGGGCCCACAGCCTTATTCAGTGCCACATCTGACTAACATACAACATAACATAACGTAACAAGAGTTAATGTCTGTAAAGAAGCTCCTGAGGAGCATATGGGAAGCTTGCACTGAACTGACAGCTGACCTCTTGAGTGCAGAGACGTTTTTCAAGGTCTTGCAGGGTTTGGGGAGCATGCGGTCAGCAGCAAAGCCTTCGTTGTCCAGGAGCTGCCTCATAGCGATGTTAGCCAGCTGCTCCATCAGTTTAAAAGTGTCGTTGATGTTGAGGAACATGGAGAAGTAATGCTCAGTGTCACGGGTGCTCACACGCACACTCTCAGGAAACACCAACGTAGCATTCTTATCCAACTGAGTCACATCTGTCCACTGAACCACCAACGTCACTACAGAGAGAGAGAGAGAGAGAGAGAGAGAGTGAGAGAGAGAGAGAGAGAGAGAGAGAGAGAGAGAGAGAGAGAGAGAGAGAGAGAGAGAGAAAGAGAGAGAGAGAGAGAGAGAGAGAGAGAGAGAGAGAGAGAGAGTGAGAGTGAGAGAGAGAGAGAGTGAGAGAGAGAGAGAGAGCGCGAGAGAGAGCGAGAGAGCGAGAGAGAGCGAGAGAGAGAGAGAAAGAGAGGGAGATAAAGAGGGGTGGAGGTGAAAAAAGAGAGAGAAATGGGGAGGGGGTGGAGACAGAAATCAAGTGAGAGGGAGAGAAAGAGAGACCAAAAAAAGACAAAAAAACAAATAAAATAGAAAAAAGACAAACAAAACGAATAAACCAAGAAAAATCAAAAGGGACAGACAAAGAAAGAAAAAGAAGGAAAGAGAACAAGTAAAAAAGACAGACATAGATGCAAAGAAAGAAAGAAAGAAAGAAAGAAAGAAAAGGAAAGAACGAAAGATAAGAAGACAAAAGGAAAAAGGAAAAAAAAAAAGAAAGCAAAAAAGAGGATGAAATGGACAGACAAAAAGAAAAAAGAAAAAGAAGGAAAGACAAACATAAAGACAGACAGACAGAAAAAAAAAGAAATTATTATTATATTTTTTTAAACAAAGGAAGAAATGTTTTCCCCACAGACAAAGCTGATAGTCTTCCTGAGGAAGAGCATTAGGGTTAATGAAAGTAAATTATATTAACTCAAGAATGCTGATGACAGAAGAGAGAAACAACGCAGCGTCTCACTGCTTCCTTTCAACTTTCTCCATCCATTTCCTTTCTTCATTCATCCTATCCTAACCGCATTACATCCCTTCTTTCCACCATTTCCTTCATTCCTTTCTTCTTCCATTCTACCTCTCTCACTCTCACCTTCTTTCCCCAGCAGAAAGGAGTAGAAGCAGAGGTGATTGACGGAGAGGTAAAGCCAGCCCTGCCGTGGCACTCTGCCCTTCCAGTAGCTGCAGGAGTAGTAGTTCACCAGCTTCTCCTCCTCAGGCATCCCAAACAGCTTCCGCATCTTCAGCTCTGCTTCCCGAAACTTCCCACAGTCCTCGTCTTCCTGTGCCTGACGACTTTTGTTCTCCTCAGCAATGATGCCCTGAGGACACGTAAACAGTTTCGGGTTCTTTCTATTCCCAAAATGGGGGCAAAACTTATGTGTGATCTGAACTATATCAGCAGACATTAGATGAGGGCTCACCTGAATCTTGCCCTTGACAAAAGTGGTGATGTCATCATCATTGTCAAAGATGGAGAGAGTCTGCAGTAAATTAGTCTCTAGCCATTCCCAATGCTCCGTTATCTCCTTACGAGAAGAACCTGATTAAAAACATACACACACATTTTAGCAATGTAAACAGATATGAGAAATCAGTCAGTTTAAGTCGTGACACAGCTTGCAGGATTCATACACTTTTTGATCAGTGGAATTTTCCATGGCATAGGAGCAACTTGACCAAGGTTTTTTTTAGAAAACCAAACAGCTCCTTGGGTGTAAACCTGGGTGGGGGGTCTACTGTGATGTTTTGGTTCAGCCTGCTCTTGACTGAATCTGTTCTGAGAGAGTGATTCTGTTTTTAAAGAGCATGGAAGTCTCCCATGTGTACGTCCACTTGATGAAATAATAGATTATTATTATTTATTTGTTGTCCTTTTTTAGGCTGAGTTTACTCAGTTTTTCAAATGTAATTAAATAAAGGAAGTGTATGAAAATAAATATATGGAGTAGTTACGCATGCTTTCTCCAGAACCTTTATAGCATTTAGTAGTTTCCAAATGATTTCCCATCATGAAAAAAAGGCATTTTTCGCATTTTTCCAGAATTTTCATGACTGTATCAACTCTGACAGTCATTAAGCTGTTGTTTTCAGGTCAAGTAGAGATTTCATTGAAAACCTCTATGATCACACAGCGTGCTGCAGCTTAGGTGGTCTGTCTGTTCCATTTAAAGTCATCACAAATGGGGAATTATACTGCACTTTTCTTCCTTACCCTGGTGTATTTCTAAGTGAATAAAACCACTCAAATATAGGTGGGAGTGGTGGGAGGGGATGTGAAACAGGTACTACAAAACGTCAAAATTACATTCTGATGGAAGATTATGACAAAAAAAGAATTTTGCCTTTTAAATGGTATGTGATGATGAACTGTGCCTAATATGATCAGGAGCATAAACTAACAATATGTTAAGTTAAAAATATGGTAACTGACCATGTTAAAAGATCCATTTTGATTTCAGGATGACTTTAAAAGAGTTATAAACAGATAATGTGTGTAATACTCTCATTATGCTGAAGCAGGATCCAGACAAGCTTGGTTGAATCTAGTTGGTCAGTGTTCAATCTACATACTGTTAATGAATGTTCCTGAGGATAAGATCACTGACCACAGGCGATGCTCCAGAAGAGCTGCGAGTCTCCGGTCTGGTGCAGGATTCTATATGGAGCCACGCGAGCACTGGAGTCTAACACAACGTCCAGTGTACCGACCAAAAGGCCTGAGGGGTAGAGAGAGAGAGAGAGAGAGAGAGAGAGAGAGAGAGAGAGAGACACAGACAGAGAGAGAGAGAGAGAGAGAGAGAGAGAGAGAGACACAGACAGAGAGAGAGAGAGAGAGAGAGAGAGAGAGAGAGAGAGAAAGAGACAACTTTGAGTGTGAGGACAGAGGTGAGAACAAAGCGTTATTCAGCATTCTTCAAAATAACACCCATCCGTTATCTTCTAGCGCTGGTTCACAAGGTGTGTAGAAACACACAGCAGAAATTGTCACACACAGCGTATAAAGGTCACTCTCTGGGTCAATAACACTGCGCTAACTGCAACAAGCAGGGTCTCCTGGGTCCACATACTTCTAGGATCAGCATTTCTTTTAAGGGTTTCATTCAACTGACTGCCATCTCTCTGAATAAGCTATTTACGTTCATTCACTGGAGTCATAGACAACAACTCTAACAGTGTCTATGCGTGATTCTCTCATTTGAGCAAGTATGTCTGTACTCTGATCCCCAGGCAGCACAGGAGTTAATATAGAGCACAAAATGTGATCTCAGCATGGTGGAAATGTCTAAAAGCTGCAAACAGACCAGCCTCAGCAAATGTTCTGTGAGCAATCAAAAGTAATCACGATTTTTGTTCAAAATAAAATGGACCTCAACGTTACTCTATTACAGCCTGTAACTATAACAAAGCAAAAACTGTACAATAGTAAGAAATCCTACAGTCATGCAATTAACACATAACCTCTGTGTGGTGAGCAGAGTTATTTCTCATGTAATTCGATTTCTGGCATCATGGGGGGAAGTGGTTTCAGAGCTAACTTGTGCCTAAAAGTGTGAAAACAAAGGCTGTTTTTGTCATGTCATATGAAGCATTCCTCCTTGAAGAGCATATTTGCTTTTACAAACACTGGGAGGGGTTATGGAACATTTAGTCTAGGCCATAAAAAATACTGACAAAAAAGCTACTCATTTTAATGTCAATCTAGTCAGGAGACTACCACCCAGATAGCAAATAAATATGCATACAGCCTGGAAAACATACAGTTCCGGGTCACGTCCAACATGCCAGAACCATTTTTGTCAGCCCATCTAGCAGCTGGATCTTATCTGGCAGCCAGATGTTATCTGGACATGGACAACTTCTGTCCTACAACAAATCTGTTCCAGGATTCACTTCAGACATGGTTAAGTGCTTTTTACAACTACTACTTTTTTCCTTACTATGAGTAGTGCTACGAATAATTTTTACTACTGCTATTATCACTACTACTACTACTGCTATGACTAATAATAATAATAATAATAATAATAATAATAATAATGAGAGGAAGATGAATGTATGTAGCAAACATTAAGTATTTAATATTTGACCAGGGTAAACTGATGTTATATTATATATAAATTAATGCTATTAGGTTAATGGTAAGATGTAATTTAAAACACGTTTACAACATGCTTTCCTATTCGATGTATTATTTTATTCCTAAATGACGAATGTGTTTTTGTCCTGTTTTGTCTTGTAGGACAATGGACTATTAATTGTTTTCTGTAGCAAAAAAAGACGACCGAATATTAAAGCCACAACAGTTGGCTGTAATTTCCAATTATCTTGTGGAGGCAAAAGCAGGATTAATATGAGTTGTACTACAAAAAAGCAGAAGAGCTACCGCCCCTCTGCTCTGATAGCGAGCATGATTCACTGCCTTACACTGACTGACATCATCTGCCCAGAGGCTGCTTTAAAAACACAGCTAGCCTAAAGAAAGGGAGTCGTGTCGTGTAATTCGTGTAACTCGACAAACACCAAAACTGGCCATCTACAGTGAAACCGAAGACTTCAGACGTTGCACTGGGCCAGTCCACCACCACCACGTCAACATACGGCTAGCAAAACAAACCAGTAAGCGCTAAGTGAGCTAGCTTTGCTGCAAGGCAGCGTCAGGTCCGGCCAAGTAAACACAGCAAAACACCCAGCGAAATAACACTATAACTCACGAGGGTAAAGTTGACTTCCTTCTCGCCATCTTATTGCCAGAATTTTCCCGGTCCACCTTACACGGTGCAGCAGTTACAGGCACCAGAACGTAACTGCTGCACCATTTAAGGTGGAACGGAACAATTCGATCAAGAAGCTGTCGAATAAGAAGCTGACTTCAGCCTCGCAGCTTAAATAACTCGGTGTCATTCATCAGGCTAGCTGACCTGGCACGTCTAAAAGTGCATTTACGGCAAATATGTATTTTTGTACAAAGAAACAGCAGCGTGATGTTGCATAAACACGAATACACACCAGTGATGCCTCCTCCTTTGCCGTGTCCCTTCCTCCGCTGGAGAATAAAGAAGGGGTTCGCCCTTTCACTGACCCACAGCGCGTTAGCGAGCAGCACCTCCTCCGGAGTGATCCACATTGCTGCAGCTGAAAGTCTTCCTCTTTTACCTCCCAATCAGTCGTGCCCCGAAAACACCAACTCTGACCATGCCAAAGTGGACAGACTGCCCGCCTGTCGTCTCTGTTTATCTACATGGGCCTGCAGCAGCAGCGGCAGCAGCTGAGACCGAGCGGAAGAAGCCACCGACTGTGACCACAGCACCAAAATGACGGCACACGCTGGAAGCGATTTCAAAATAAGAGTTGGAGGTCCTGACGCTTCTGCAGACTTGTGTACATTTTTCGCTTTAATTGTGTTTTTCTACCATCTCAGATGAAACATGCTCAGTAAGAGATAGTAAATATGTTACTACTTTATTACCAAACATGTTAGGAAAGCAGGAAAAATATCACAGATAAAATATTTAACCCTCTGTTGCAAACATGTCACAAAACTACAAAAAACAAGTTTAAAGTATGCTGTTCATGCCTGGTACTGACCAAGGGTCACTAAAACTGCATATCCCAAAAGTCACCACTCTAGCTACACTGTATTATAGAATAATTTGTGGTGAAAAAAAAGATATTCTGAATTTTACAGCATGTCTCCTAATAACACCTTTGCTTTGAGGTTTTGAGCAAATTCAGCAATCTTCCAAGTGAATATTTTACCTGTGATATGTTTTTCCTTATTTTCTAACGTGTTTGGTGATAAAATAATTACCATACATAAATAAAAGATGTACATAACAAAATTAAGTAATTGTTGTGAATTTTGCTAAAATACAACTATGGACCTCAGTTTCCACCAGTTTATTGTTTATATATAAAAAATAACATATGTATTGTTATGTTATAAACCGACTTAAATAAAATTGCACTTTGTTAATCACAATGAGAAAATTCAATAATCTTTATCCCATTGGTGTAATTTTGCAACATTTCCCCAAAACTAACCCAAAGCAAAAAGTAAAATGATTATAGTTTAGAAATATAGAGTGTAAAAACTATAGTTCAAAAGGGAAAAATGGAAATACACCAGCAAAATCAAGGGTTAACATTAGAATAAGCAGGCTAAATAGATTTTAACCATGTGCCATTTTCAATTTCCCACATAATTAAACTTTTTTTTCATTTCTCTCATTTTGTATATCGTACTTTGTATAGTGTGGTATCTTAGCATTAGTTTTCAGAGAGATCAGTGGTTTCATGAGACAGAAGTGCTCCTCTCAGTGGTGGCAAGCGGTAGCACCCCTTCATCGTTCATGCCCCCAGGGCTGATTTTTAGCAGCCTGTTATTTGGAGCATTAAACTGGTGTTTTCCCTGATTCAGCACATCCAATGTAGCCTATGGAGAGGCTAATAAGTTGCCCTAAATCAAAACATGTCCTGCCCAAAAGATGTTTAGCTACAGAGAGCGTTCACAGTAATTGAACATGCTAGACGTTTTCTCCCCATCACTCCAATCTTACAGGGTCCCGCATGTTTTTTTTTGGCCCCAGTCTTTTTTTTTTCACTATACACATCAGCTCCACTCTGCTATATTTTCACAGAAATAACATTTCATGTCAAAGTTATGCTGACAATACACAGTTTTTATTTCTCTGAAGCCTGGCCAATACTCTGCTTTAAAGATACTGACCTCTCTCTTGGATACAAAAGACCAGACGGCTGATAACTTTTAAGTCGATGTTCAAAGCTTAAATGTACCGTTCTGTTAACAAGTATTTGCCCCTCACCAGATTTCTTCTATTTTTGCTAATTTGTCACATGTAAATGTTTCAGATCATCCAACTATGATTTGGTTGGATGTGGTTTGGTTTTGAAAGCGTTTTTTGTTGGTCTGTGTATTTTTAATCTTTTCTTTGTATTCCTTCCTTTCATTCTTTTCATGACCCTATCTGCATAAAGCAATTCAGCACAATGGTAAAAAATATAGTCAAATATAGCTATGTGCTATGATGTGTTAAGAACATCTTGACTACTTGCTGTATATTTGACTCAAACTGAAACATTCACTTTAACTCTGATGTTTCTTTAAATGAACCTTTAAATCAGCCATTGTATAAGTTATATAAGGTCATATAGGCCAACTGCATAGGGTATTAGTGTTTTTTGTTTATATGAGCTAATTCATAAAAAAAAAAGTTAATTGACCCTCTACAGTGTCGCCTCAGTGTAACAAACTCATTATCTGTACTTTACAATGACATGAAACATATTTATTCAAGAACAGTTAACTGATTAATAATTAAGGGAAGAATGTAAAATCTTTTATTGAGTACCACATCTTGTGATGGGCATTTTTCATCTCCTTCTGGTATGGTGTTCTACACATTTTTGCTCAGAAAAGCAATTTTTCATTATTTTTCATTGACCCAAAAATATGATTTACATTTGTTAGCATGTAAAGTTTCTTTATTTACACTCATTATCATGTAAATGATGTTTGTGTTAGAAGAATTTGCTTTAAATATGCATGTTGCCTAGAAGCAACACTGTCTCGCAGTAGAATGGATACAGCAATAATGTGTCATTCATGCAGCCACTGGAAGGTGTGCTGAAGTTGTCATGTATATTTTATTTAGAATTGCACTTTTAAAAATATTTTTTGTGCTTTTATTTTAGAAATCTAACATATCTAATATATGTATAACATATTTATTTAGCATGTATGCAACGTTAGTGGCTACAAGCCCAGTAAAGTCAATCAGGCTATCAAGATATGAGAGAGAAACTTTGTTTAGTATTCTCTATGAAGAACATTTTAAAAAATGCCAACATCAGAGAAACATGACATCTCTATGTTGGCTTTCTTGCTCATTTATTCCCACAATAATCTCCATGTCTGTCTGAAGGATCAAAAACACCAAATCCAGAGCTCTTCTCCAAGCCTCTAACTTCACTGTCACATTATCATACACTCCCACCATTTCTCTTTCTCTCTCCACCATGCTATCTCCTTCACTTTCTCTCTCTCCTCGTAATGCTTTTGTGTAAAAATACTTTTTCAGAAGAGTCTCCAGCATCTCAGTTTTCAGAGAGCTCCTGCTCTCAAAGTCCTTTAGGTGCTGGGCTATACATGTCCATGCCTGTGCTTTGGCCACAACCTGACCAGCATTCACCTTCAGAGTTGAAATATAGTCCATCCAGCTGTCTGCCATCAGCTGCAGAATCGTGGTCTCATATGGTGCTGTTGCTCTTGCTGCCTCTCCCTGGCTAGCTATAGTGGACTGGGACATGTCTATGCATTTGTAGAGCTGGTGAATGCACAGCAGTTCAGCAGCCCCTCCACCAGGTAGCAGTTTTCCATCTTTGAGTGCATGGTGCAACCGGTAAGCGCAGCTCCAGAACTGGTCCACCAGGCTCTGAAGCTTAGCATGGACTGAGCTAGCGACGACTGCCGTGACCAGAGAAGTTCCACTAGCAACGACGTTCAACAGTATATTTTCGGTCTTCCCTTCACCACGATACTCTCTCAGCACGTTCACGCAGACTCCAGCACCCACACAACGCTCGCTGAGCTGTGTGACATACGAGATGGGAATGGCTCCTGTAGTTGTAGAAAAGTCTTTCAAAATGTTTGCCTTCACACGCTCGATGACCAGAATGTTGTGATTAAGGCAGTGGTCTTTCAGCTGTGCGGTGACCACTCCGGTCACAAGAAGAACATCTATGCTGAGCTTCAGAAGTTTTCCCAATGCACCATCTATCCATTCCTCCTCTCGACTGACCCCCGTCAAGGTAGAGCAATCACTAACGTATGTGATGTTTTTAGACCTGTTGAAACCTACATGACGGTACGTCTCGCTCAAGTCGCCATTGATTAGGCCGATTTTTAATGTCCGCTCTTTTAAATGCTTGACTAGTGATGCCTGCTCAACACACAACAATAAGACATATCCGTGAAGTACGCAAGAGTGCTCCTCAGAGAGCCCTGGCAAAGGGCATGTCACCAACCTATCAACATCTAGAACCTGACTCTGATCTTCATGCTTTCCATGTCTAGACTGAATCCTGCTAGCCTCTACCACTAAACTCATGGAAGCCTCACAGCCATGGCTGACAGCTTCAGCTAGCTGATCTACGTTGAACGTTTTTGAGCTCTTTTGGCACAAAGTTTCGGCTGACTGTGTCCCCTCAGCCTCATTGCTACTTGAATTAAAATGCCTGCTGTGCTTTAGTTTTATTCTATGCTTTGTTGGAAGTGTCTTTTTGATGGAATCCAGGTTAAACACTCCATTTATGGTCCTAATAGTGTTCTGAGTTGATTCCTGTCCCCCTGTAGTCAGTGAAAGCTCTGTGGGTAAGCCATCCTCAGCCTTCATACAGTCACCACTATTCGGTTGCTTCAGTAAAGTGCCCTTACACACAACCTCCTCCACAGTCACAGCATTGCGCATGCAGGCCTCCACACACAGGTCTAGGCCTTTTGACATGCCAGCTATTATATGTGGAATTGAGATGCCTTTGTGAAGACATTCCAGTGCCACCCTGCTCCAGACCCCTGCCAGGAAAACCAGCGTGCTTGTGCCTGAGCGCAGTGCCTCCTGATGGGCCCGAGTGGTCTCGTACAGCAGCTGCCCCACAGAGTCGCTGAGCTCAAGCTGCTCCAGCAGACGGTAACAGGAGCAGACCAGTGCTGCCTCCGCACTAGCCTCATCTTGGATGAATTTGTAGGCTTTGTTGGGACCCAAAAAAGCATGAGTTGCAGCAGCCATGGCTTCCAGCTGCTGGAGCCCAGTATGGCGACCCTGGTTTATTGCTCCAGTTCTCAGTAGTGACATCTGTGTGGAACAGCGACATAAAGGGAGAGATTAATGGTTAGAGTGATACAGTTACTTGAAAGACTGCAATGATATTGACATGAAACAAGGTACCAGCGCATTCAGTTCTGTACCCAAACAAAAGAAAAGAACAGTCTTACTGCTGTAGGGTGAGTTAAAAGTGTACAGTTTTATTGTTGTACGGTGAATTAAACCAGCAATGTTTCGTTGTTGTATGGTGTGAATTAAACCTGCACAATATTGTAGTATAAGCCTCCTCCGAGTTAGTATTTTCTCTGTTTTATATTGGGAGCAAATTGTTGGCATTCGTTTACTTCTTTCCTTCTTTTAAGCATTTTCTTTATGTAGACTAGCAATGATGTGTCTGCTCAGCACTCCTTGTTTTATACTAATTTCTTCATTTCCAGTCAAATTT